TCGGGGATCAAGGGCAAAGGGAAAAAAAACCCACACTGCTACTTAGAATCGCGAGCAGACACACAAAACCGCATATTCAATATTACATCTTTCTGCCCCTTCCCTGTTTCTGACGCGCCGCTCGGTCCGGCCGTTCGGTCAATCGGTCAATAACACAAAAAGACGATTTATGCTTGATCCATCGCCCCCCGCCCTGGCCCACCCACACACCCTCGACAGTTCCCGCCAAAGGAAGGGGGGTTGGTGGGGTTTTCCAAATTCAATTCCAGCGAAACCAAGCCCGAACCGGTTCCGTCGACATTGCAGGGATTGCCCCTTTTGGAGCCCACCCAATAGCGCCGATGAACTCGTTTTCGGCGCAACGTTACAATACATGGACAATCGTGTCGGTAAAACTCCTTATAGCAGATGGATGATATAGGGTCGATAGTTGATTTGAGATGGGGAAATAATAAACGTATGCGCCGTCGTCCCACTCTTCCCCCTTGCCGTGTTTGGATTTCATTGGAACATACTACGCACGTAGGTGTACTAAGGGGGAAGTAGTGCGCACGCGCACAACCTTCCACAGAGAATATTATTCCGTGATTGTGTTTTTTTGCGAATTAGAAGTTGAATTTCCCAACCTCCTCTCCTTCGTTTTCGTGTTCTTTTTTCTTCTTCTTACGTACGTTTGCCCGGCCCCCGTTTGCTGGGAAGACGGGGACAAGGGGGGGACGTAAACGGCAGATTCAAGATACCAGATGTGCCGTATGTCAGCGGCGTTTTACGATAGAAGGGAAGAAGGAAAAGAAAAAAAAGGTTCGAAACTAGTCGTATTCCTTCGTACCGCGAGCTTCCGCACCCAAAGTCGCGGGTAGGATCTTACTGTATTGGGGGTGGGGATGTTGGCCTGAACCGAACGTGGTTATATGTTTCAGGAAAGTGGTGTGTGTGTGTGTGGATTGAGGCTGAGGCTTACACACTATTCCTTACGTGTGTGTGTATGTGCGTGCGTGAGTTTGGGCTGATGCTATAAGTTGTCGGTACGAGCCGTTGATCTCGCTTACGTACGAGTTGGGCTGAGACGACGACGTCGGCGATGACGAAGTGGGTGGTGCGTGGGTGGGTTTGCATAATCGATCGGTGCAAAATATGCGCTCCTCGGGGCTAGTGTACGTGTAATCATCATAACTTGGTCGTAGCATTAGAGTTTTAAGCTTATGCACGTGGTGAAGGGATGTGTGTGAGCATCACGATGAGGCCAAGTAATAGGAAAAGCAAGCAGTGTTTGCTTTGCCGTGGTTATTTTTACCTTGCCTCTATTTTTTGAGGTTTGAGTTTCAGGCACTGAGTTTCAGGGCATTGGGTTTTGGACTTTGGTGTGGTGGGTAATTTTCTTTCGTATCTCACGTAATCGTGTATGTGGAGTAGATACAAAGTACTCGCTTGCGTAGTCTAGTCTATCCGCAACGACAATCGTATGGTCTAGATCGGAATTTACTAAGAGAGTTTTGCAATCTTGAACACCTCGAGGCTATTGATGTATATGGTAACCAAAGATGGTGATCGTTTGATTGCATTGGGTGCCAGTGACAAGGCCGACATTGCTACCGTACTTACAGTCCGAAGATCAGCAGTCAGTAAGATTGGCAGATACGGCACTACCATGTCGCTTAGAAGAACGCCCAAGATACCAAGATGATGCCCAGCTTTGACAACCGTCAAAGAGTATACCCAATGCCATGGGGCTTTTGACTTTGATAGTGAGAAAGTACAAACACTCCGTACGGCAGAGTAAGTTTTCCGACCAATAAGCGATTATGCGCAGCAATTCTGGTACGATTTCAACACGCAGTCTTGATAAACGTAAGTGTGTCATCATTTCCATGTAATCAGTGTACTCTTTGAAGAAACCATCTCCTCAAAATAATGCGTGTTATCAACAGCGTTTTATGTGCAACCTCGTATTGGCATGATGTGAATGACTAGATTATTGAATGTGATGGCTGAACTATGCACCACTTGGTTTGTTGGCATGACTCAGATGATTTATAAGGAACAGCTCGTACGAGGTAGTTCATAGGGACGGCTCGGGCGAATTGGCTTGGGCAACACGGCTCGGATGAAATAACAGATACAGAGGAGCTATACGGATGTTATACACTTTGCATATGCCGTTACAATGTGCTTCGATTGTCCTTTTCTTGCAATCTCAGTGCGATATCTGCGGTGCGCGGACTCATGTCATGTCCAGATCCCTTGTCGTAACCATCATCACCTGTCTACATGAGATGCATGTCCGCTTAGCAGAGGAGCTGCTAGCATCCGCTATCAGTATAGAAATTCGAATCACTACCTTTCTGTAAGCCAGATATCCAAGCTATTAATTATGCGAGAGGAGGTTGTTGTACAGAAACTGACGTGTTCTGAGTATGCGGAGATGAAAGAGATGTGATCCTAGCCCGGGATGTGGATATTGGTCTCTGGCGCGTATTTGAAAATGGTATCTCAGTGGTTGAGATGTTTTCGCTTGTGGGAGATGATTGGATTACTCTTTTGCTAGGCGATACCAGTCGGTGGCTGTCGTCCAACAGTGATACCAGAGATCACAATTTCAGCCCGTATGTAGCGTTGACATGTAACCTGTTCCACTTAACTACTTTAGTAATAGAATGATATTTGTTATATGATTACAGGTTCAAACAATCATTTCATCCGCAAGCAACACCTTTTGCTGTTAACTAGACACTACAGGGTGCAAGAAATGGAATATAAATGGTGCTGGTGAGTAGGGGGTTGATCGGCACCATCAGTGTTGGAAACTGCGAATGTTCTTCAATTATCGCTTCAGTAAACGGCGATTGACGTTAAAGGCTAGTGTGAAGGATATCTAAATACACATAATGGTATACCCCACATCACATATACCCATGTTGTAGTGCTACATCACCACAAGAACAATTTCTATTTGTAAAAAAAAGTAATAGCATACTGAATTCATCACTAAAAGCACAATCTCACGAAGCTGTGAATGTTAGAGTAGCAATATAATCAATGTATTCTAATTCTTCACTTCTCGTAGTACACATTCAAAACATGGATTGAACTTTTATAATGATCCCCTATTCATTTTCATAACTACATAAGAAGCCCTCATCTCGCTCATTTCTTCTCCTTGCAAATCACCATCCCTACTTCCAATATCATCACCTCTACATATCATTTCTCTCACTCGGTCACATTCATTTCAACCATACCCATAAAGTCGCACTCGGAATACCTCCAAACCCAAGAAAATCTTTCCAGCATGTCCAAGGACCAAAAGGACAAGAACAAGGGACTGAATTGCAGTGTATGCGGAGGAAATCTAGTCTCCTCGAACCTGGGTAATGGGGGAAAGGGATTGAATTGTAAGGGATGTGGTATTTTCAGTGGGGCTTAGAAGAAGAAGGTAGTTGGATCTCGGGAAGAAAGACTGTAAATGAAACGCTGAATAGACAGTGTCTGTATATCATAAACTTTCAATAAATACGTCAAATCATATACATACTTAATATTTACATACATACTACACCAAGCCTATGCATCCCGTAACTCTGCAACAGCAAAGTATCCCTTATTCTCCACTACACCTCTATCCTTTACCACAGCTGTATACTTGACTACCCATTGCGGTTCCACATCCCCTTTCAATCCCTCCTCATTTCCTTCGCCGGCTAAGACACCAGAGCCGTTTTCACCGGCACCCAGTATCTGCCTGAGCGTTCCCCTTGGCAGGATATTCGTGCAGTCGTTATGTGTCAGCAACTCAATCTGCTGCTGTTTCGCATACAAGATAAGTGGCTTGGGCACAACACAGCAATCCCTCACATTGATCTGATTGACACTCGGTTTAACATTCGTGCGTTCAAGGAAGCGTGTCAGGCGCGCGACACCGAATTCCGCAATGCCGAGTTTCGAGACGAGGCCCTCTGACTGCAGTTTCTCGAGCGCGTGCCATGTTTTTATCATAGTCTCGAGATCCTCTGGGGGTACACCGGCGTCTAGACAATCACCGGCGGTGTTTTCAGATGTAGATTGGGCTGCGGAAGGAGGAGAAGGAGGGTCGTCGTCTTCAAAGTCGGATTCTTCGTCATCGGCGTCAAAGGATATGCCTGGGAAGCTGACGATTAAGAGGTCTATTGAGGATGTTCCTAGCTCCTTGAGGACGAGTTCTATGGCTTCCCTTGTTTGAGCGCAGCGTCGATCGGCAGGTATGTTTGGGAGGTAGAACAGTTTGACTGTAATGTCGTAGGACTCTCGGGGCTCAGTCAGCGGCGAGGGGGTATGTGTGGGTACGTATAGCGCGGAGTCGGTCGCGGTCGTCCATGTGCGGTGGTTTGGTTTTGAGGGTGGTGGGGAGGATTGGTGGGCGGAGAAGTTTGCGCGCAGCGAGGATGTGAGCTCAGTGTTTGACTTTTCGAATAGTGGACGTCGTATGACGGACGGTCCGCCAGACATGATATTCCTGGTGTTGTTAGATTTGACAGTAGACAAATATGGGGCGGTCGTACGAGGTCGAGAGTATGAGCTTCATGGCTGCTGTTTGTAGGGTGCAGGTTTCTTGGTGAAGAAGATGGTATATTTAAGTCTCTTCCCCGGATTTTGTGGTGGTATATGGTTAGAAGGGCCTTAGAGGGAAGGTTGCAATGCGCTCAATGTTTGTCAGCCAGTGGGGCGTGTTTCAAAAAAGGTTGCGCCTAGGACGCTATAGCGCGGTTGACTAGAACAGCGAAGACGAGGAAGATATGAGGAGGGCGATTTGATGTATGCGACAAGACTATTGGCGCATCAAGTTCATAATATGCGTGTCTGTATGTCGGTCTTGAGGCGAAAGCAGCGGTGGGGAATATGGTCGAGGGCGCATTGACGTCTCAAGAGTCGCGGGGCTGGCCTGTGACCGCCGATCGCCCAAGTTGCACCTTTCCCAGGCCACGGCACTACTACAGTAGCCACTCCTCTCCACCTCACACGACATCATGACAATCAAGTATGATAACGCCTACACACTCTTGTTATATGCAGTGCATTAACTGACAATCCATTTAGATATCTCATTCTGCTCTCGCGGCAGGGCAAAGTGGTTGGTCCCCCACCCCAGAATGCAAAGCTCCCCCTGCTGATGCTCCTACGTAGCGTCTAGCCAAATGGTTCACCACGCTGGCACCCAAGGAAAAGGCAAAGATAGTCAAGGACGTCTCGCAGCTTGTCCTTGCCCGCCGCACCCGCATGTGCAACTTTCTCGAGTATAAGGGTCAGTATGCCCCTGGAAGATAGTGTCTTTGCTCGACTCACAAGCATGCAGATACAAAGGTCGTCTACCGCCGCTACGCCTCGCTCTTCTTCATCGCCGGATGCGACGCGACCGACAATGAGCTGATTACGCTCGAAATCGTCCATCGCTATGTCGAGCAGATGGACAAGTACTATGGCAACGTCTGCGAGCTTGACATCATTTTCAACTTCCAAAAGGCTTACTTCATTCTCGACGAGCTCCTGCTTGCCGGCGAGATGCAGGAGAGCAGCAAGAAGAACGTACTGCGGTGTATAGGACAGCAAGACAGCCTCGAGGACATGGAGGTGAGTGAAGTGTGATGCGTCTCCGGTCCGCTTCGCTACACCCAGAGCGCCGCCTGGCTGACGCGCCTGTCGTCCAGACTGAGGACGACATTGTTACCAAGATCATGTAAAGCCGTCTACGGAACATTGAATCACATACACTCGGCCTGGCTGCTGTTCCTGCCTCGTCCCATTAGCCCTCACTGACCGTGCCTTCGGCCTCCAGGATGATGTTGTCAGTGCCGAAACCTTCAGAGACCGGCTCCGCGAGCAGGGCATCATGTGAGAGGCCAGATGTACATTCGCGTACAGGACCTTGATTCACGGCGTCAATCATCGGGAAAATGGTGGGGCTTTGTTTGGGAATACGGCAACGACACGGTTCATGCCACAGACACACTTCAAGGACAGGCGTTACGGCGATACGATACCACACGGCGCGGGGAGTCGGGTTATTGGAGAACGCACCACCTGCCATCCTGCCTTGTAGAGCGGATGGCGGTGGCTGTACTCTATCTACTACAATCAAACACGTCCGACTGGCGGGCTTTGCTCGACACAGCTAGGTCTTACACAAGTGGTTTACTGAGCTCGAACGTGATCATACATCATGCCATCGAGACTTCTGCCCTTGGCATTGTTGCTCGTTCTCTTCTGTTATCCTTTTCTTGTTGCTTCACTAAACCTAACCACCTAGCAACAGACATTGTCCCTATCTGGCTACCAATTGCGCATCTGCACCTTGTGACAGCAGTCGGTTCGGATCAATTCCTGGTCCTTTTACCCAGAACCCTGCCAGGCACATATGAAATGACACATTGCCGAACCCAGTGGGGTTCTTTTACCAGGCAATTGACCTGTCCTAGTTCACATGCTCGTTCGACTTCAGATGACACATTACGTACTCGCGCAACATTGCGCATTGCCGGCACCCAACTGACATTGGCGCTCAACACCAGTCGCCTCTCACCAGTTACCCATCTGGTCTTATCAGCCGCTGTTGTTGGTTGAGGACCTGGGCTTGTATGAACCAATCAGGAATGTTAACCCGACACACATGCCCTTGTTAGCTCGGCGACACCGCCAAGCTGATCACCGCTGTCTCCGCAATCGCGACCACGTTGTAACAGCGACACCTCACACCACAGTTCCGCTCACGCTATACACATGTCCACCGCCTGCTAGATGACTGTCTGGCCGAACAACAGTACTCTCTCCTCTCTGCAGCCAGCCTAGAGTCGTGTCTACTCGTTGTATCGGTTCGCGCAGGCCATCCCTCCCGAACACACCACCGCCCGCAACCAGCAGCCACTGCGCGCTGAACCCCTATCCTCCTCTCGACATCAAAAACCAACTCGGAAATTACATCCACATACGTTCTGATTGAAAATAACCCGGAATTGGCACGATGAAGGTGGGTAGTTGATGCGACAAGACTCCGGTGATGGTGGTGGTGATGATGTAGCTGATCCGGTGACGCAGTACCTCGACCTGTGCGCCCTCCACGAGGTCAATCTTGCCCTCAACTTCGACACCCAAGATACCGCCATCATTGGCGGATGCGATCTATGGACTGTAAAGGCAGCTGGGAGTGACAAGAAATTATACAAGCGCATTGAGAAGACGCTGGAAGAGCGACACAAGGACCTGCTATCAGCGGTTGCGGGGCTGTCAGAGCAGTCCGCTGCGCAATTCGCTGACCAACTCGACATTTCCAGAGATACCCCTTTTGGCACCTTCAGCGAGGCCGCAAACCGTCACACCTTTGCCTATCTTATTGCAACGCTCAATGCGACACACATTGACTACGACTTTGCAAACACACTGAACCCCGACGAGTTCCGCCGCGAAACCATGCACAGTTTCATGCACAAAATCGATACGACCATGTACTACCTGCGGCCCCAGGTGTATTCGGCCGGGCTCCCCGCAGGCGCCGTCACCCCGCTCGGCTCGCCGATATGGAGCCCCCGCTCATGGCAGCTCGTTGACAGCGAGATGGATATGTCGAGTTGCGAATACTATGCCTGGGAGCCGTCAGATGATCCTTTTGCCGATGATGGTGCAATCTGGAGTCATCACTTCTTCCTCTACAACAAGGAGCGCAAGCGAGTCGCCTACTTTTACCTACGTGGTGTATCGGCACTCTCCAACTCGCCTAGTGTCGCCATGTCGCTCATGTCCAAGTTCAAAGCATCCAAATACGAATCTTCAGCCAATGCGGGCAGCAGGAAGCGTGCCGAGTACTGGCTGGGAGCTCGTGCTAAAAAGGGACTCGAGGCGTATGGCGATAGCGATGAGCTCGACAACATGGTGATTGATCACCCGGGCGAGGTCGTCGATGCTGAAGAGGAGCAATACATCCCTGCGAGAGAAATGAGCATGGATGCCGACTACTACTATGAGAGCGAGGGAGACAGCGACGTTGAATCACTCGTTGGCAGGGAGAGGACCGTGAGCAAAGTACGGACAATGAGTGAGGGTGTTGTGGAGAGGATGGAGCTCTGAGATGCCCATTATCCACTCCACCACATTTGCCAGCTCGAGAAGGTCAAGTAGCGATGACTAACCGGCACTCAACATGTCGGAATAGCCTCACTATTTCCTTTTGGCCTCTCCTTTTTTCTTCTCACAGCACTGTTGGTGTCTTTACTCTTTGAGTAAAGGTCTCCAATGTTTTCTGTTTGTTCGTTTCTCGTTTCCTTTGCGTTTTTCACCCATCTCTTCACCGGCTCGTGAGAAGACGAACCCATGAGAACTGACAACAAGGGCTTTTACGCTCGGTGCGAGCGACGCGTTTCAAATGCCTTTTTTCTTCCAGTCTGCATAATTCGTCTGAGCCTTGAGATACCCCATTCCCTTTTTTTTAGTTTGTCATTTTTTTCGTCCTGCTTTCTATGTACTTGTTAGGCTTCTTTTCTTTCTTCTCTCAATGTTTGGTTGTGCGCAATGAGTTTCTGCGTAATGGATGGGGGTGGATTCAGGGTGGGAGGGATGGAGGGAGATGTTTATGTGTGACGATGGATATGACTGGGATGACGGCGTGTAAGGGAAACTGTGTCTTTGTTTAGTTTATGTATACGGAAATGTGATACTGATACTGTTATTGCAAGTCTCAAATCAACGTGTGGTCTTAGTTGCAGGAAGCCTTTTTGTTGACGCAGCATGTGGCATGTGTTTTCATGAGGATACGTACTAACTGCAATTTAATGCCACTTCTTATGAATCAAGACAATGTGCGTTGCCCTTTGTTAGACTGTTGGAATTACTACGGTTGGCATGCCAGCGTTTAGTGATCGACTACTCGAAACAATCATATTTTCCTACTGTTTACACGGTCTCGATATCCAACTAGCAGATGTAAAGGCGATTGGATTTCGTCACGGTTATGGATTAGAATGCACGATGTTCACATATATGGATTTCCACCGTCCAATCTCCCATGTTGTATCTAGGATTTTCATTTATAATTTAATCGTGTACCTATCCATATTTCCTTCCTTTCTTCTCTTCTGTTGAACAAAAACTAGGATGACGTTATCTTTTGATCAAGAAGTCTGAAGTTATTTGTGAAAAAAAAGAAAGAGATACAGAGAATCGATCCTCCCAAGCCCTGTTGTGATCTCTGAAGAACACATTATCGACAATCAATTGACTGGATTTTTTTCTTTTGGAGAATTATGGGATGCTGTCGTAACACAAAGATTTTAAATCTCATCTCCCTTCTAAAAACATGTTCGTCTTTCACTGTTACCCATATCTATGTCTATCCAGAACATCACGATAAGAATCTCCAATATCTTCCTTTGAAATAACCCCAAGATTTAGAACGCTAGGACCAAAAGAATACACACGTAATGTCAAATCATCACCAGCTTCCCCCTTCCCTATCTACCCGAGATCATCATCGCGAGAACACTGTGAATAACATCCACAGCCCCCCCCCCCCCCCCAACCAGATTCCGAACCAGCAAATCACTCCAACATCAACTCATCTTACATCTACTTAAACGGAATGTTCCCACCCCCTCGCGTATAAGCGTTTTTTTCCAAGGTGGAAGCTAGACAAAGCCACATCCGTGAGATAGTCCCCTCGCTTCCCTGGTCTCCCTCTCGTGCCCTCATTCCTCCCAACCCCCCCACACCCCTGTTCCTCAAGCCAAAAAAAAAGTACCACCGCAGTCTCACCTTTCCGTCTGGCCACCTACTCCCTGCATCATCAATCTCACAGCATCTCGATGGAAGAGAAAGAAGAAAGCTGGGGAAAAAAAAATCACGCATACGGAATTAGGGGACCCGCCGTGAACCGATGAATATAGTTTCTCTTTGTTTGATCTTTTGACTCCATTTTCCATGTGATATCCACCCGCGCTTGCTACGTTGGAAAGAAACCGGGGAGGGGGAAGGCCACCTGTGATTCTTTGTCCAGATTGCCAAAACCCGGTGGTGTGGCACAACAACTGAGGGAAAGGGGAATTCATGAGGCTGATGATGATGATGATGGAGCGAATGGCAGAAATCGGGGTGTCGCCGCCCGGTCACCCAAAAAAAAAACCCCCCTGTAACGTAAGCAGGTGTTTTGCACCGCTGACCTTTCTCTTTAACGGTAACTAACTAAAAACTAGTAGCAATCATCTCGATACAAGCCCCCTGTCATATGGTCGATACGACCAAAAAAAAACAGGGCTTAGTTGGTCCGAAATGATAATAGTAAAAACATAAAACGGTTGCTTGCAAGCGAGGGTGTTTACTTGCCGTTCAAATTATGTCTTGAACTCTTACTTGCTTTCGTTTAGCCTCCATGCCGGGGCTGTTGCCGAATGAAGGACGACTGCGAAGGCAAGGAAAAAAAAGAGGTGTTTACGTCAGCCGACATACGTAACCTCGTGGCGGTTCGCCAAGAGAAGCGTTTTTTGTGTATGGCATGGCGGCAAGGGGACTGCGGACTGCGGTTGCTGAGTGGGCTTAGTAGTAAGACCGGCTTGGTTAGAAGACGTCATTCGCACTCGAGGTCTTCTTCATTCTTGTTTGCTAATAGAAAAAAAAAACAGTATGATTATTGCCACTGCTTATCGGCCGTAGAAACACGGGGCAGATACAGGAAAAAGGCGTGGCGAGACGAGTTGTTGGAAAAATGGAGCCGTGACACGTTGGGCGCCGGGTGTAGGACGGTCATTCAACAGTATCAAGGGCCAAAACAAAAAGGGCTGAGCATAACCGCAAGCAGAAAAAAACCCACACTTCAGAAACAGGCCCACATGGCTAGGGATCCTCGGGAAACGGTTAGTACGTGGCCATCTGCCGCTGTTGAGCCGTGGATTTGTCTCTTCCTAGTATAGATTGAGTGGGTACCTTGTAGTGGAGATCTCCCATGGTGGAGGGAGGTGGCGCGTGTAGGAGCCAACGGGGCTTCTGCCGACAATGGTAGCATTGCTTTGTTGGGTCTGCAGGTTAGCACCGATGTTCCCGTACGCCGCCGCCTTGGTTGAAAAGTAAAAAAAAAAAAATATTGTAAGGATGGAGTGTGGGCCTTCGAGAACGGAAGGGCTCCAAGGGCGACATTCAGCCGTTGTAGAAATGCTACGGTGAATGGGGTCCGTGAACTGGAAGCGGCTATAGTATACTATGACCAATAGCGTGTTGAAGAGAAAAACAAAACAAAAGGACTTTTTCTGCAGGTTAGCTAAGCCGCAGAGACGGTTCAAGTACCAGTAGTAGTGGTTTTTTGTTTTGTTCTTCTCTCTTCTTTTCCTTGCACAGTGACAATTTCTTTACTCATGACAGCTAGTCACGCTGTTGTGAAACCATGGGACCTGGTCTTCATTACCGAGCCGAGCGTGTGTATCAAAAAAGAGGCAATTACCGATGTGCCTGGATTCTAGGCAAAAGCCCCGATGGAGATGACAAGCCAAGGAAAACGTGCTAAGTGATGATTTTCCCACCCAATGTTTGGTACCGTGAACCCTATCTCGGACCCGGGTGATTGCAAGCCCGGCAGCTAATCCAAAAAAAGAAATGTGACAAGTACCGCAGCCTTCCGGACTTAAGCCAAGTTACATGAACCGGCTCACGCGGAAGATAGGGAGCTGTTTCAACCTATCGGAGAATAGCAACCATAGGGTAAGCGGTAGAGCTCTATTGTCTAGGGTTTTGCTGGAGGGTTAACAAGTGCCGCCAACGGACTGAAGATCAGCTGCTATCCGCAACGGTTTGCGTGGCGCAATGTGGTGATGGTGCTGACTCGTTGCGATGTGGCAAGCACGGCAGGAAGAAACGGGAATGACTTGTCAAACATGCTCCAACAGCTTCAAAGAGTTGGGGAGCTCCAGTTACGTAGCAGTAGTGGGTCGTAATTGGAGGCGGCGAGGTACGCACCTGGCATGCACGTGAGACGCAGACTACTGCACCTTGGCTTAGCTTCATTGGCGCGTCAATATTCACCAGATCTAGCTATCCTGGTGCTTGTGCAGCGTGTCGGGTGCTCGGCGTCAGCATCTTGTGCGTTATATTTGGGCTCTTAACACTGAGGTCCAGATGGCTGTTGTGGAGGTGGACTGGCGGCTGCAGTTTCCAGTTTGCTGCCATTGCGGGCCATTGTCCTCTGCTTGAATATAGCCGGATGAGATGGTTGCCACTACGGGGTGGATGCACTCTACTATGCAGCGGGTGCAGAGAGAGCAAGAGCGATATGTCGACAGTGTGTACAGCGACAAGCTTGGTATTCGTGCTAACGTGTATGTACGTTGTCCAACGGGTTATGCTTGTTGTCCTAGGAAGCCGGATTTCGCTCCTGTTGCTCCGAACAGCAACCTGCGCCTTGCTGCGCCTTGCTGCGCCTGCACGTAACGCCTCACACTTCCCTGCGTTCAATAGCATGATAGGCGGAGCTGGATGGCGCAAGTCGTGGCGGTTCGCATACCTCTAGATCCAGCGCGAGCGGCAAAGCGTCTGGGGAAGTGCATCGGGATTGCTCCATACAGCTACCCGGCCAGCCGTTGGACAGCAGGGTGAAGGAAGCAGGCGTTCGTCATCAAGTAGCTGCACGTACTGGCATGTCGGTCGACATCATATCTGCGAGCGGTGCTGTAAGTAGAGGTCCCGAGTGTTTCACAAGAGAGGCACGTCATTTGTATGCGTGCAGTGGAACACGGTATGGTCGCAATGCAACAGCAGCGAAAACGACAAGAGCAGTGGGGAGGCGCTATTGGATTGGTGGATGCAAACATGGCAGGGAGGGCGATGCGATACACATCGAGGCCAGTATGAACAGGATGTATCACGTGATGGGGGGGCTGTTGCCGGACCAATGGTTGGGCGGTCATTAGTGTGGCTGCAATGGTATCACTCTGCTTAGGCGAACCAAGTTGCATTGTTGTTGCCAGGGTGTTGTGTGGGCCAGTGGACTTTGCGTCCTGCAAGCTCGCTCAGGATATGGCTAGAGAGGTAAATTGTGGATGGAGGCTGGGGGCGTGCAAGCAAGGAGGCGCAGGGAGGGATGCTGTGTAGTGCCTAGTAAGTACATAAGTACTTGGGAAAGGATGTGTGTGTGGATCGAGTGGCATGTGGAGTCAGCAGCGGAAGATCACGTGGTTGCGGACGGCTAGCGACGATCCGCATTCGACGCTGGACAAGGCTGGCATTGCTTGCGCATGCAGCAGTTCACGCTCCGCCAGGCTTGTTTCTTCTACAATCCTTCGATTGACGTAAATGGCTTCGCGACGGGCTGTCGGACAGCTCCACCAGGGCGCTGTCGGGTGCAGATCTGCCACGAGCGAGGCCTTTGTCGATTGCCACTGCAACGTCAGAGGGCTCGGCCGGGCAGGGCTCTGCAGCATCGACGAGCGTGAATTGCAACGGCGACATGGCAGCCCGGGACTGGAGCTTCGGCATGGGGCCAAAGCGAGGCTAGGGCAGGCGCAGCAGCAGGATGCCGTCATGCGCAAGGCAGCGGAGGGAGAGCAGACATGTACCATGTGCACATGTACGGTATGGATGTAGGTAGGTTGGAAGCGTCAGTACATTGGCCTGCACACACACACCCACACACACACACACACACACACACACACACACACACACAGGACAGGAGCCGGGCGCGATGGGGCATGTCAGGGTCCGGGCCAGCCCAAGGTCAGGTGCAGAGGCATGCCCGCGTAATGGGGGCAGGCCGTGGCAGAGGGAGGGCGGGCGGCAGCGAGTGAGAGCGTGCAGGCCGTGGTCATGCGGCGCCATGAGTGGCCGGACGTTCAGGCGGCCCATGGGACCCATGCGACAGCCTAGTGGCGGCGCTAGCGGTCACTTTACCCCAGATGTTGCCGCATCCGGCTAGTGCGCATCGCTGCCGCCGTCCGAGCGCTGCAGGCTTGACCTCGAATTCCTGGGGAAGAGTGCGGGAGTCGTAGTCGCAGTCGCAGTCGCAGTCGCAGCCACGTTCGCAGTCGCAGCCACGTCTCACCGATGTCAGCCTACGCGGCTGTCCGTATTGCACACACCCAGGTCGAGAGCGCTGCCGTCGCCCAGCGTAGCGCGCTGTCAGGTCGCTGCCCGCCGCCATGGCTAGCCGCTGGACGGCAGCAGAGACGTGGGCCGCGTATATGCAAGACCCGTCGCCCGCCTGGCTCGCCGACAGGCTCTTGAAACCCGCATCTCAGCATCGGTTTTTGGCCCGCAGGCAACTCCCAGCAGCAGCGTCGTCTGGCTGGCCTCCGCGACCGATGCTGCTACACTGCTTACTTGGACACATGTACACGAGGACATGGGCAATATGCCGCCGGCCTCTTGTAGGACGCGGCCAATTTATTCTCGTCGCAGGCGAGATGAAACCGAGCGAGGGCACACGCTCCACGGCGATACATACATCCATACATGTATACATACATACATGCTCCTTAGATTACGCCATGTACATACTTGCAGTACCTATATACATACATATATACGCACATGGATGTATGTTTCCAGCGGGATGCGTACATGCGTACACACATACATACATACTTGGAGCAAGTAGGTACATATCGAATACATACATCCGAACCGAGCCCGCAGCAGTGGACGACCCGCGGCGCAGGCCATGCATGGCGGTGGTGCCAAGCGGCAGGCCAAAAGGCGACTTGTCAAGGCCGTGCTGCCGATCGCACCCGCACATCACTGCCCATCGAGGCCGGCAGGAGACAGCAGGAGGCTGTACGAGTGGGCGGCGGAGGCACTCCGGACCAGGCCCCTGCGGCAGAAACGCCGTTTGCTGGGGGATCCACTGCATATGTACTGTACTGTATGTACGTAGGAGCCCTGATGCTTGCAGGGCCCGTCCAACGACCTCCTGGCTTTGCTGGCCAGTGGCAGAGCACGCTGCCCGCTTAGCCTGCGCGCGCCGTATCCTCTGCGCTTCTGCTTACCACGGCCTACTGTACTATAATGCCGCCTGCCTCGTTGCTGCCGCCGCCCATAGCTTCCAGCCCTCCCAAGTGACATTGCACGGCCTGCTGTCCCTTCTTGCTCCTCGCCTTCGTTTCTCCCTCGTCCACAACCCTTGCACCCCCCCGTCCCACGAACGCTGGCCTGTGCTCAATTCCCCAGACTCGGCGCCTCTACCTGTCACCCGTGCCCGGCCAATCGCCCCCAGCTCGCCCAATTGCTCTCGTCGGGTCCCAAGCTTGTGTCTGCGTTGTAATCTAGCCTCTTGGGCCCTACCAGCACAAACCCGCCTGCGCGCCCTCCAGCCCTCTGTCCTCTGCGAGTCCGCTCACTCACTCACGCACCCTTACATCAACGCTGGACCCTCGTGCGCTGCCTGCTACCACTCGCCTACTGTCCCTTGCCAGCGCCGCCCTCCACCGCACCGCCCTCAACTCACACCACCACGTCCAGCGGCGTTATTCCTCTACAGCCGACCTATGTACGGACCGGCCAAGCTCCAGCCAACCCATCGCCTCCTTGCATCTTCTTTTCGGCCAACTTAGCCTTGCTCTGCTTGCGCCCCCGTTGCTCCAATCACTCTTCCCTTTCCCCCCCCCACCATCGTCGACCGTCTTCTTTCTCTCTCTCTCCTCTTCTAGCAATTGGCCTTGGCTGTCCGCGAATATCGCTGTTCCTAAGCTCCAATCCTATCCCGGCATCACTCAACTTTCCAACTGGCTTCCTGCCATCACTCGTCCTCTTCTCCTTTGTGTCTCAGAGCTCCAAGCAGCTCGTCCACATTCCGTGTCCTACCGGAAGCCTGTCGAGGTACCTTGCATCTGCTCCATTGCCTTTCTGTACTGTCTGCTGATCTTCCTGCCTACTTGCAGCCGCCGTGCTTGCAAGCTGTCAGTCTAGTTAGTCGGCGACTGTGCCGCCCACACGAGCTCCACAAGCTCCACTCAGCTTCGGTCACCGTTGTATTTGCACTCAAACTTGGCTTTGAGACACGTTGAGTTGGGACTGGTCTACTCAGCGTACTAACTGCCTACCCTTAAGCTTGCCGAAACAGCTGTGCTGTGGCGAGCCATTGTGTTGCTCGGTCGTACCAGCCCCATACACGGAACGACCATGACCAACGTTGAGAGCACGAGCCTGCCGGGCCCCACGAACACGCCGAGCGACGACTCCAATAGCTCTGGCAGCAGCAGTAATTGTTAGTACAAGACGTATACAAACCCTATACCGCGGACAGCTAACCACAACTGCCAACTACAGCCTCCACATCCACCGTTAAACCCGAAGCCTCTCCGCCCACCGTCCACTCGTTTCCTCCACCCAAGAACGACAAGCCCCGGCCTCACATCTGCACAACATGCACGCGTTCTTTTGCGCGACTAGAACATTTGAAGAGACACGAGCGATCACATACAAAAGAAAAGCCATTCGAGTGCCCGCAATGCACAAGATGCTTTGCACGGCGCGACCTGCTCCTGCGCCACCAGCAAAAGCTCCACCAGCAGGGCGCGACTTCTGCCCGCCCCCGCACTGGACGTAGAGAAAGCACAACAGGCCTTCCATCCAACGCCACTGCCCGAGTACGCAAAAACTCGGTATCGAGCAACGCTGGTGGCGCCGTCGCCAAGACCATGAGGCCGCGCGCCAATACCATCAGTCACATCGATCCCAACTCATTCAGCAGCTTCCTCGCATCTTCGGTGCCAGTAAACAGGGGAGGTGTTCCTGGTCACTCACATCACTCAAGTCTTTCTGGTATCAGTCAGTTTGACTACCGGGGCATGTCCACGTCCATGGGCAACCACGGACAAGCTCAGCCCCTGCCGAGACTGGACACCCATGTTGGATTTGGCATGGGCGGAGGCCTTCGCACAGCTCCCATCCCGGGCATGGCTGGACCTGATGACCGTGAACTTGAAAAATTCTTTGGAACATCGACCTCTACCATTAACCCCAACCAGTTGCATCACTTCAACGCCAGCGTCGGAATCCCCGCGTCGCCCTTCAAACGATTTGCAAACCCGTTTGCTGGGAACAACCCGATCGAGGAGGACGATTTTGGCTGGGGCATGGGTATGGACAACTCCATGATGTTTTCGGGGGCAAACGAGTCGGCACTGGATGGCTCATCGCCATCAGCGATAAGTACTGCGAGCCAAGGTGCCTTCCATGACATGATGCTAGATGGCTCCAGCCAGCCAAACTCGGCAGCCATGTGGCACAATCCTCTGGTGACGCATACGAGCATTGACACCACAGCCTTCTCCCTCGAAGCCATGGCTCCGGTCTTTCCTGAGCTCATGATGAACACTGGCACCTCACAGGAACTTGGCGATCAGGGTGTTCAGAATGATTTCTACACCTCTACACCACCCCCTCTAGTGGCCATGAGCCCTTCAGCTGGAATACCCGGTATGCCGAACCAGTATTTTCAGACGCCCATGACATTCGCTTCTGATGCCAACAGCATATCATCATCCTCTATCAATGGCAGCGCAGGGCACAGCTCCGTTTCCTCATTTTCCACTGAAACAATCACAGAGTCTACAAGGCAAGCTTTGATGCACAACTTGAGTCAAGCCATGGGCTACGGCCAAATACCTCAACGAAGGTTCTCCCAGCCAGCCATCAGCTCGCCTCTGTCCTCAAACGGGACTAACAAGCATTCAAATCTGGCTGGCCTACTGCCCAGTACTTTCGACATTCAGCGATATGTGAACGCCTACATACAATACTTCCATCCACATATGCCTTTCCTACACATTCCAACACTATCTTTCGATACTCCAGCGTATACATATCAGCTCCGCACTGCTGGCACATTCAGCCAAGACACCATGGTTGGGGGAGGTGGTTGTTTAATTCTTGCAATGTCCGCTATTGGAGCCCTATACGAATTTGAGCAAAACGTAGCCAAAGACTTGTTCGAGGCAGCAAAGAAGCTGATTCTCTTCTATCTTGACGAGCGCCGCAAAGCCGGTCTGTCCGCTGTCAATGGACCTAGTGCTGCCAATGATAACATCAACAAACCACCCTTGTGGCTGGTCCAGGCCATGCTACTCAATCTCATCTTTGGACTCAACTGTGGCGACCGACAGGCTGCAGAGGTCGCAAGCACACATTGTGCCGCCCTCGTGAGCCTAGCAAAAGCTGCAGGCTTGGACAAGCCTACTCCTCCAGAGCAGACTATGCCCAGCCCCCCAAGTAATACCAATGGGGATTTCAACATGTCGGATGATTCGAATCCGTCTCTTGATCAACAAAAGGATACCGTAGATGAGCACACACAATGGATACAATGGAAGAAGGCTGAAGAGCGCAAGCGAACCTACTTTGCCATCTTTTCAATGTCAAGCTTACTTGTTTCGGCATACGCACACTCACCTCGGATTCTGAATTCGGAGATCCATCTGGATCTGCCTTGTGAAGAGGATCTCTGGTCCGTCGACAACGCTCAAGCGTGGGTAGCAATGGGAGGGCCGATGCTTGCGCAAACCCGGGGCTTGTCCTTCATTACCGCAATGACGTACCTCCTTGAAGCTAGTACACGACAATCAACCTCAAGAATGCGCAATGCCTACCCAAATACCTTTTCAGGAGGCCAAACTGTCAACACCCTTTCTGAGAGCGATATTCGGCCGAGCACTTTCGGTTGCTACGTGCTGATAAACGCGATGCACGTCTACATTTGGGAGACGAGGAACAGACACAACGGTCGCTTGTGGAAAGCCCATGAGACAGAAGCTATGCATGCGCAAGTCGAGCCTGCTCTCAAGGCTTGGCAAGTTGCTTGGAGAGCCAATCCAAACCACAGCATCGAGCGACAGAGTCCCTTTGGGCCTTTGGCTGCTGACTGCATACCGCTGCTGGACCTTGCCTATGTGAGGCTTTTTGTAAATCTTGGTCGAGCAAAGGAGCTTCTGTGGCAACGTGACTTTGATGGCATGGCAAATGAATTGGCCAGAGGTGTCGATGTTGTAGGTCAAACGGAAGATTCACCTGAACGGTCCTCTTCTCTGGACCTAAGTCAGACGGCTTCTCCGGGTCAAATGAGCTCGCAGGACCAAATCAGCCCTGGAAACAGTGGTAATGGTCTTCCCAACAGTGCTTCTTCGAAACGCGAGAGGCATCTGCGCAAGGCTGCCTTCTATGCCGCCGACTCTCTCTCCATGTCGTATAAGCTAAACTCCTCATTCGCCGACTTCACAGCCAGGGAATTGCCCAACTCGTCTGCATTATGCATATTCGACTGCGCACAGGTCCTGGCCGAATGGGTTGCAACCCTTCAAGACCGTGTCGGACGCTATCTCGGAGTATTGGGCAGAGATGAAGTCAACTTCTCAGAAGTACCAGCCATCTTGCTACTCGAAGAGGAAGATGTGAAGCTCTTACAGAAGATTGCAGACATTCTTCATCACGCAGATATGAAGCTGGCCTACGATATCTCCTCAAACAATATGTCGATGCTAGGTGGTCTTTCAAACCTGGGACATTGCGGCTATGGTACCAAGCTACTGATGGTGACGGCCTATATGCTGTCCAAGTCAGTTGTCTGGCCTGGTGAGTAGATATCAGAACCCGCGTCTGTCGCCAGCACTAATGTTGTCGCAGTCACTCATATTCAAGCACGTGCTCTCGAAGCACACGCTCATCATATCAGCCAACGTGCAGAAAACTCTACCATTCAGTAAATACCAGTTTTCACCGAACCTGTATACTACCATAAGACACGGAACCCTCTCGGTGACTATTCTTGTTAACCGTCCTCGCATTTCTGCCGCATAACGTGTATCGACTACCAGAGGACTACTTTGCGACCCCAGCATTTATCCTCGAAGTCTTCTTCTACGACATTTTTAATCCTTTGCGCTCGGCAGCAGCGCTTCAAAGCTTCGCCAACTAAAACAAAACACCAAACTTGAAGATATGCTTTTGACATGGATTTTCTCGGATGTACAGACGAGCTAGGTCAAGGTAACCTATTTTCGATGTCATGTTCGACCATCACAAGCACTGGTCTCTTTTTTTTTATCAGCAGGCGTTTGGAAGGAATGCAAGAGCGTTCCGTTTTCACAACTCACAGGTTATGTATTAGGTTTTTTTTTGTATAAAGGTTTCCATGCATGAGGCAATCTCGGCCAGGTCCGCAGACCTATCTCTTATGAGATTGGCAATTTACTGCGCATATTCGAAAGAAAGGGACGATGTTACGACATATTCCTTCGCTCACTATATTTATGTAAGGAAACCGGGCTATCGGAGTGGGTTGGCGCAAATGGGGAACTCACGGCCCAAAAAAAGTGTTATGGATGTACGCAGTCTATTGACTTGATTCACGAATTGAATGAAACTTTTTATATTCTCTCTTACAGCATTGCTGCTACTTTGAAGTATGAACTATTTGAGCAAATAGTCGCTCATCAAAGACTTTGGCATCCTCTTGCTAAATCACAGTTGTAAATTTTCGCGAACAACATCATATGATGCTAGCTTTCGGTTGGAGACCGCAACCTGACTCTTCGGTTAGCTACACGGGTTGGAAAAAGAAAACTGAACTTGTGGTAGATGTTGTCTTAATCATAATCAGAGAGTAGATGAAACTATGGTGCTTTGGTCAGAAATCAATACAAATTCGCCGTAGATTTTGCGGACTTGAGGATTTTTCAAATACACTTTGGGGTATTCTCTGTACTAAGGAATCATCTCTACCTAAAGAACCATACAATGTTTGAGCTCTACCGTTTTAACAAACTTACCTCAGATGATGCGCAACGCGCTGATTGGTTGAGCACCAAAGCTTGGATCGCGTGCACCTTCCGCGTACAATTATTGTTGTTCTAAAAACCACGACACAACTCAAGCAGCGACACACAAACACAACAGCCAACGTTGACTACCGGCTCCATTGGGAAGAGACATAGTACATTATTTTGGCAGTAACTTGCACAAAAACAACAACAACATGTCAAGGCCAGCGGCGCGGAAAGCGGCGCCCAAGGGCGAGTACATTGAGACGGTGCGTCTTCACCTCGTCCCCCATGGACCATGTCCAAACCAGCACAACATCACTACATCGCACATTTTATCCTCTCATCAAACAATCCACCCGCGTTTACCTTTTTTTTCCCTAAGCGTTTCCCATCTAACCCTTATCCCTCTCATTCACTCACCAAAAAAAAAACTCCCCCACACCATGCCACTAATCCACCCCACCCCCATAGGACTCAGGCAACAAAGTCTCGCGCCGCAGCGCCATCACAGGCACAGCCAACATCACGCTGGGCGGCCGCACTGTCATCATGGCCGACGTGCAGCTCCGCGGCGACCTGCACCCGACGCGCAGTGCGCCCTCGCAGTCCGGCAAGGACGTGACGCCCACGAGCATCAGCATCGGGCGGTGTACGGTGATTAGCCAGGGCAGCGTGATTAAGCCGCCGAGCAGGATTAGTAGAGGCCAGGTGCATTATTATCCCATGAAGATTGGGGATAATGTTTTTGTTGGTACGTTTCTTGACCTTTTTTTTTTTTTTTTTTTTNTTTTTTTTTTTTTTTTTTTTTTTACACTTACTCTTCCCTTTTTTTTTTAACTCCCGTCTGTGTGTTGTATGAGCTGTGTGTTTTTTTTTGAGGGAAGGGAGAAGAGAGAAAAAAGAAAGAAAGAGTGTCATGTCATGAGATTCTACATCTCGTAAATATGGGTAACACGGAAAAAAAAATAGGTGTTTCTTTTTTTTTCTTCTTTAAGTCTGATGAAAAAGAGTAGGTCCTAATTCGACTATCCAAGCGATATCCATCTCGTCTCATGTGCATATTGGAAATCACTGCACTATCGGTCCGTTTGTCATCATCAAGGAGAATGTAAAGATATTGCCTCACACGGTTGTACCTGCAAACATGGTCATCGCATCTGGCTCCGTCATCGGAGGCCGGCCCGCACGCGTAGTCGGCGATGTGGGCGAAGGCTGGGGTGTCAGCGGTGGCGGAGGCGGCGGCTTGGGTGTCGGCGGTGGAGGCGAGGAGAAGTGGGTTGAAGGTGGTGATTTGAGGGAGTTGGTGAGGAGTATACGGTGATGTAAGTCAAAAAAGTCCCACACAGTCCAAGTGTCGAGTTTTCGAATGGATTAGGGTGGGGGAATGAGAAGTGTGAGAGAGAGAGGAAGGGAAAAGGGAAAGTTCTGTCAAGTGTGTTTCTAGCAAGAAAGAAATCCGGTTTCTATATGTGTTATTAAATATGAATCTCTATCTATCTGTTTTTAAAAGCCGTTCTCGTATGTACAACAGCGTGTAATCTATGCTTTGGCTTAAGTCGAGAAAATATCTCTCCGTCTACAAGACAATCTAGGTGTCTTGCTTCAGCCAACCTGTGCCGAGGACGCGGAGGGGGAGGGACCGGCAGGACTGAACCACAGGTTCGTCCAACTGTACTACATGGGCAGTGACCATGAACTTATCTCGATATAGCGATGAGAAAAGGCCGAATCATTCCATGTCTCTCTTGCTTTCTCTCTATCCCTCAGGCATCTCTCTCTCTGCTCGCGACTCGTCCTAGCCTATGCTGCATGTCAGGCTGCATTAGTTCTTTCGCCATGCTCACTTGGCACTTGTAAGCATGCGAACGTTATTTTTTTTTGCCTTTACCGCGAAGCACTATATTCTAATCTGACCGTATTTTTTTCCAAAAATCCTAACAACTACGCCCAGAAAAACGAAATAGAAAAACAAGCTTTCACACCAATTCTGCTCCTCTTTGGGCTTTGACCTCCATGGTAGTGAGCTCGAATTCCCTTTTCTGAAAGATGCCTTGGCTGTCCCATGAGTCGGGGCTGGGCTCGCTCTTGGTGTCGTTGAAGGTAGTGCGTGCGTCGGAATAGATGTGTGCCTTGTGGGATGACTTTGTGCCAATGGTCGGGCCCGGGCCGAATCCGAAACCGAAAATTGATGGGCCTCTGCGGCAATAATGTCAGCAATGGGTCGATGATATAGATGAAGATAGAGTCAAAGTGGGGCGGAACAGCTCCGTGGGTTCCCGTAGCTGACCTGGGTTATCAGGCCACCTTTGTTTCAACGTACCTGCTGCGCCCAGTCAACTCATCGCCAGATGAAGCGAGTTTTTTTGAAGTGAGAGAGATTTTGATATCGCGGATAAGAGGGCGTAAGACGGGAATGCACTGGACGATAATGGTGCCGACAATCTCTGACGAGTACCAAATGTTGGAGTGAGCGTTGCGCCAAAAGTACCATTTGTCTTTCTGGTTACCCTCGTCCTTCCAGCTTGTGCGGACAGCTGATACAACAGCGACAACCATGCCCTGATTGTTGTTAGCCATGTTGATTTAAAGATGAGCCAGGGTCTAAAAAGCGCGTATATCGTACCAAACTCATGGCAACACAAAGACCAATCTTCTCAACCCTTCGCATATCGAGGTTCCAGGTAATGACCCATGGGAAGACTGCCAGGATGAAATCCATGATAATGTTGTAGACGTTGCCACCCTCTTTGAAATCATCCCTGAACTTTGGCTCGAGGCACACGTCGAGACGATACCAGACGTCGTAGGATGACTTTCCGCAGACCTTTGCCCATTGCAGGATAACTTTTGCGATCATGTACGAGTTCATAGAAGCGATACAGAACCAGAGGATCCATCTTCCCCAGTTCTTAGTCAGCTTCAGCAGAGTGACTGCAAATGCCGTCTTGGTAAGCGATTGGTTGATAAGAGTACCGCATGAAGTGATGTTGATGAGTATGTGCATGCGATCATCCCAGGTGGCTTGGACATAACCAGTTGCGTATTCAAGAGTAATGATAGAGTTGTTGGCAGCCAGTATTGCCTGCAACACAATCAGTCAGCACTGAGCAGTTACTCCTTAACGCGCACATGGTTATACTCACCCATGAAATGAGGAGAATGTGGTCATCCCACCACAAACCATGTCGACGAGTAACTTTGATCCATATCCTCAGAGCCAAGAAAGCAGTTGCACCGGCAAAGAGCGTCCAAAGCCCGACATTGAGTTGGACTTCTGGATCCACATAACCGTGTTGCGCATCATCGTTGTGTTTTCTGGGCGAGATCATCTTGTCATGTCGGTCGGAATAGCAACCGACGTACTACACGGGGCGCCTGGAATCGAAAAATAGCGTAAAAAAGGTAACTGCAGACCAAGAAAGTTTAAAAGAAAATATGAACGAGCGGACGAGCGAACGAAATCTTCCGGTGCGCTGCAGGTGAATAGATAGGACCGGGGTGGTTGGTGGACAAAGGAATGGACAGAATCGTCGCGCAGAATTGGAGCTGGGCCAGGCTCGAGATGATTCAAACCCCCCGCCCGGTCTGGCGCGAGGACCTGTGATGCTCTAGTTATCATCAGGCTGTCCCCCTCGCAAGGCTCACCAATGTGCCGGGGATTCCAGACCCAGAAAACGTGAAATGAGGTCCCGACTCACAGGACGATTGGTGGAACCACCAGTCCAGTAATGGTCAAGTCACCGGGGCCGTTGCACAATAACGGCCTTGTTTCCGCTAGATCCTGGGGAATTACATATGGTCTGCTAGCCAAAATCAAGTCTCGCTCATTCCTGCCGGCTTCTAGAGGGGTGGACTGACGCGGAAAGCCCATTGTCAAGTCTAACCGAGGAGTGAACAGGCCGATCCATGCTTTGCTTAAGCGGTGGGTCGATTCATGAATCGCCGGACACGATGGAATCTGAGACAGATGCCACGCGCCTCTCTCCTAGGCCTTGAACAGTTTCGGGATGCTCGAGGGCAAACCGTCGCTCGATTTACCACAAGCGTGCAGTCTTCGGTATAAACAGAACTCCTGCAGGGCGCCGTATAGGCATGGTAAGCTTATAGTGACTGGCGGACAATTTCGTTCCTGTCGTATCCCTGTAAGACGGCTGCACGGGTACTGTCGAGTTTGATTGACGCAACTTGTCAGCAGCCAAGTTGGTGCCGCGGAAGGGGGAGCATACCCAAAGGAAAAGCCCGCAGTTATGCCGTTCGATAAAGACAGGCGTACCCAGCGGGCAGACCCTGCTGTCGGGAGTCTCTGACGGCGATGAGTACGGATTCGACAAACCACGAAAGACGGAAGAGGGAGCTTGGTTTCAAGCCATCACGTGCCAAGCAAACATGACATGGCTCAAAATCCCACAAAAGGGAAAGCCGGATCAGGTCCGAGCTCGCACGTCATCCTCGGGTATCGTCCCTGATCCTTAGAACCCGAGTTTCAGCTCGGCACTTGGCGCTCCCAGCAGCACACTCACATGCACTTCCAAATATGGGGTAAATAGATTGATATATACAGCCTTGGAGTATTGGAATGGCGTGTCGCTATGCTGATCGAGGCATATCTCTCCAAAGAATAAACGCGGGCACCAGTGAACCAGAGCGCCGCTACACCTTCCTCAACGCTGCTACACCTTCCTCAGCGCTAGTCGGCCAGGCTTGGATTGTAATATACTATCTGCTCTCCATGACAAAGTCGTCTCAACACGCTGCTGCTGCTACCTCGGTCTCTTGACATGTAGTCGTCTCAGCAGCAGGACAGCGTAGAAACACGACCAGAGTAAACGTGCTAGTCATTCTTGCATGTAACAACTATATTCGTCGTCGACAAAATGGACCGATCTGCCACGTACATGAACAGCTCGCTCGTATAAGAGTAGCCTCACACATGGTGCGACCGGTGCGACCCGCAAGCGAATTTGTGAGGCAAAACAAATGCCTAGCCCTTGCGCAAGTCCAGATGGAGATCAAAGCAACACACGGTTCACTCGCGCGGAAACTCCACGTTCATCTGTACAAACTCTAAAAAGTTCAAACACGCCTTTTCTCTGACTGAACGACTGGTCTGAAAGCTTGGGTGGCGGGGGTGACATGCTCAAAGCTCAAGACAGTCGCACTACATACGTACCCCCTTGGTGCGCGGCGAGAAAGTCGGCCAAAATATAGAGTTGTAACAACAGCTGAGAACACTCTTTCGAAATCGCTATAAATAATAGTGCCACGAATTGTATACGACATCGTTTCAGGTAGAAAATATTGGTATCGATCATCACATGTTACTCAACACCCTGTCAAGGGTAAAGTATTGGTATAAAGTTGTTGAAAGTTGTTGTACTACTATACTCGCGGCGCAAGTTCTGGTCAACATCTTTTCCTATCGTATTGACCGACCGCCACAGTTTCCAGCAAGCTGAGGCTCCTCGTATCTGGTAGCGATATCCCTGCTTGGAGATCTGCATCTTACTGGGATGATGCAAGTTCGCTAGAGCAAGCGCGCAACAAAGGGTATGTACAATGGACGCTACGTCCGTATGTATCCCCCAATTGAACAATCTTGCATAACATCACTTGTTTGTATCTATCTCGTGTTTTTCCGGGTATTATGCCTATAACTTCCAAAGCAAACTTGGCTATGATTGGCGCAATGACCGGGTTAGTCCTACTATTACAATAGAATCTTTGATTTCGCGCATAATACCACGTTGGAGACGGCGTGAAATAAAGGTTCTCACGAGAGCAAAGGGTCATAAGTTGTTGCCGTGGGGTCCAGAAGCACAGGACGGCAAGAAGCCACGTGGGTGAGGCAGATGACGATCTTAATTAATAAACGCCGATAGATTGCATTGAATCGGATCTCCAGAGTTCCCCTCGGGCTGCGGGCGCTTTGGGCTCAGCTGAAAGTGCATCTACCAGGTTATCCTGGGGAAAGATAACCAGAGACCTTTTTTTCCGCATACACCTATTATCTATATTTATGCAAATGTATTTATTAGTATCGAGGATTGATGGTTCCCAAAATGTGTGTACATCAAATCATAAGCCTGCCTCGCTTGCTATGAACTACGTACAAATATTTGGTGTCCCATCACGGCGTTGGCATTTCGCCTCGTATTCGTGATACACACGATTCCGATCCCCGCAATCCCAAGCCTAAGCGCACAATAATAATCCCGAAATCTTGTGGCCATCGCAGTAGCCTTGTTATCAATTTCAACACTGGAATGGCGACTGCTTTTAGTGATCAAGCGCTCCAGTCCCTTTACAGGGCTGCATCGTTGAGCTATTGTCCCTTTATAGAGCTGCATCGTTGAGCTATTTGCATCACGAAAACACTTGTTGTTATCTCTCCTTTTCGGCATCACTGCGGTGTATCTGCATCGTGTTCCACACTGACCATACGGCCGAAAGTGCTGAGAACTCACCTACGCGTCTGGTGAACCATCACTGCTCAGCAAGGTACTCGAGGCGAACTCCACGAAAATGTAACATGATGTGTTTAGATTTTATTCCAGCATACCAGCCGATCCCTCCGTGTATCAACTTCGTATCTGGGATACCACGCGCTTAGTTACTAGTAGTGACGGGACCAAAGTCCAAGAAAATGACGATGCAAAGTAGTCTTCTCGAAAAAGTAAATGCCGCGGACGAAAGGGCACGGAACAAGCCACGAATGACAGAAGCTGACATGGTTTATTCCTATGTTTTCAGTTTGTTTTCAGCATGTTTTTCCAGTGTCTACTCACAGTCTCAAAAGCGCATGTTTAGTACAGACATTAGTGACAATCAGCAAGCATCTGTGTGTACAGCTAGCCATTGGAATACCACAAAGACCCTCGGAAATTTCTCTCTCGAAAAACACAGCTACTTGGGGGGGCCTTGCTCCAGATCATATCATACCATTTGACAAAAGTGCAAAAAAAATACGCTTAGGTAGACTCGCAAGCACATGGTTTATCCCATTAAACCATAACTTAGTAACAGATAATTGAGAAGAGAAGACTGCATTCATATCAACGATAAACGCACATGCCCACTGAGAGATTTTTACCAGTATTACCAAACCATTTCTCAAAATTCAAAGCAGGGTCTCGCTGACGCTTATCCGAATCCTTTTATACTGTACTTTAACTGCAAAGTCTTCTTCTTTTTCAATACCCGATTCCGGCAGGTCGGGGTGTGGCTTGTCATCCTTTTCTAAAACAATCAATCTAATACGCTACATAGAAAACCGAGCTTAGAAAAAAATGTCAAGTCATCAACGGTGGGCAGATAGTATGAATGGTTTTTTTCTTCTTATCATGATACACTTCAATGATGAATGAAAACGATACAGCGAGTGTTAAAATCTCATCACTCAGCCATATGCCAACCCAACCCTACTTCCCCCAAAGCCCCTTATGAGCCCCAAGCCCGCCAGAATCACCAAAGGATAAACATATGTACATAGTACACCTTAATGCTGCCAACAGCAGTCCTGGTGATTTCTCCGTATTTCTCGTTGATGTATCGGGCCATCAAGTGCGTGCGCAAAAAGACTTGTACAACATTTCACATCCGATGATACTCTTTTGTCACAAGTAGAGAATGACGTATCTTTTCTTTTCTATCTATTTACTCTACAGCCGTATTTAGATTTTTAAAAAAAATCTCTTAAGGAAAAAAAAAGATAATAAGAGGGTCACACACATACTCTCTCTAACTCTGCCAAGAATACAAGTATTACCACACGTATATACTATTCAGTGCACTGCAACCTTTTTTTTTGTGTGGCACGTGATATCTTATGTGGAGCTGAGCCGAGTATTGTCCCAGGTAAACTTTTTTTTTAAAAAAACAAACAAAATAAGAAATAAACTTTACTAGAAAAAAAAATGTGTGAATGCCTCTACAAGGTGTAGGTAAAACACATTGATCGTAGATGTAAGGAAGATAGTAAAAAGAGTAAATTGTAGTCATAATAAGGGATACGTAGTATAGTAAATCAGTATAATACCTATGCAATTCGCCATTAACCGTCCACCCGTCTCGCCGCATCTCATCACCGCCGCGCATTCATTTGACCTGGAGGCCCATAGAAATAAGTGACGGCACCGAAATATCGCACGGGTGTTTACGTTACTAGCATATCACTTGCTTTGGAAATTGTCATATAGGAACATAGAGAGCCAGGGAGGAGTTGTATGTGTCAGTATTACCACGGGTAATTTGTAAAAGTCCTCTGTTGTTTCTTCTTCTCTCTTCCTTTCTTCGGGGGAAATTACCCGGGAAAAAGGAATGGTAAAGGGAGAGATTGTAGCAACGAAAGAGAAAGAGAGAAAGATTTGACTACGTGAGATGTGCAGAAAAGGGAAAGTGTAAGTTGAAATATGGATCGGTTGATTTTTTTTTCCCACTTGGGTGATGATATATCTCTAGGGCGCAAGATATTTCCTGGAAAGAGAGAATAGAAAAAGGGATTTCGTGATCCAACTAAGATCAATGAACTTGAAAAAAAAATAGATGACAAGGAGTTACAAATGTCAATTCATTAATCACAGGCCAAAAGAAGTTCTTTTTTTGCAAGACAAAAAAAAGATATATTTGTATAGGGGGGGATATAAAGCGGAAGCACACAAATTTACTTGTGTACCCAAAAAAAAGAATCGAAAAAACAATTTTTAGATGATGATGAGCAACTTCATCAAGTCAAACAGTTAGTAGCAGTAGCATCCAGTCTCCGCTCTCAACAAAACAAAAGTCCTCAATCCCCAACACCCCTTCCCCCTGTCAGTGTCCTTCCTCTCTCCCTTACTTACAACCTCAAACCCCTACGCATAGAACGCTTGGCAGCAGGAACATCATCGGGACCACCATCGGGGTTAGTAACAGCACCGGGAAAGCCAATGAGCGTGTTGAACTTATCGGCGAGGGCCTTGTTGCGGGTTCCGCCCTTGACGGCGGCGGCGGCGCTCTTGCACTTGGTGATGGCGGCGGCGTTGGCCTCGCACACGTTGGTGAGCTGGTTGCAGAGCGCGTTGGTGATGATGTCGGGGTTGAGGGCGTCGCTTTGGCTGCCGCGCGCAAGGGGGTCCGCGATTTGGAAGGTGAATTCGTTGGCCGGACGCCCGTTCTGCCCGCCTTCGAAGATGATGGTGGGCGTGCAGCGACCAAAGTCTGCGCCGCCGGCTGCGGCTCCCGCGCCGGCACCGGCGTTGTTGTCGTTTGCAGCACCCTGGTTGTTGTTGTTCTGGTTCTGGTTACCGGCATTGGCGTTGTTCTGGTTGCCAGCATTTTCATTACCAGCAGCATCCTCATTGGCACTGTTGTTGTTGTTGTTCTGGTTACCAGCGTTGTTGTTGGCAGCGTTTCCGTTACCAGCAGAAGCATTTCCGTTATCAGCAGCAGCATTTTCGTTATCAGCAGCAGCGGTTCCGTTACCAGCAGCAGCATTGCTGTCGCAAGCCGCGGCGTTGTCACCAGTAGCAGCTTGGTTGTCAGCGGCAGCGTTGTTGTTGTTGTTGCTGGCATTGTTGTTGTTGGCGGCGTTTCCATTACCAGCAGCGTTGTTGTTTCCAGCAGCGGCATTGTTGTTTCCAGCAGCAGCGTTGTTGTTGTTTCCAGCAGCGGCATTGTTGTTTCCAGCAGCGGCACCACCCGCACCACCAGCAGCAGCCTGGCTGACAACCAAGTTGCCAAGTCCAGCCTGATCCATGAGATCAAACACACTCAGTCCGTCAGCAGGAAGGGGATTAGCAGCAGAGCTGGCGCTAAGAGCGGCGGCAGCGCCATTGACATCCACAGCAGGGTCAATCAGAGGAGTGATACCACGGAGCTCGGGGGTAGCAGGAAGTGAGGCATCACCACAGACATTCTGAGCGTTGCCGTTGGCGAAAGGATTGGTGTTCTTCTCTGCTTTTACCATGCCAATAGCGGCAGCGAGGGCATCAGCACCACCACCGAGCTCAGTGAAGATTTGGTCAGCGCGAACGAGCTGGGCTGGTTGTTAGTAACAATACTATAAAAAGAAAGCCACTGAAGGACCAGTCAAGAGTACGCACCTTGGCGCAAGAGTTGGCTCCACCAAGCAAGTCAGAAATAGCAGCTCCCGCAAGAGTAGCAGCTTCGCCGCTTGCACCACCCTTAACCTCGCTGATGGCCGCAATAGGGATTTGCTCCTGTCCGAAGCGAGCCTCGACATAGGCAATGACAGCCGCGATGATGAAAACCTTAGAGACCATGTTGGATGATTTGCAGGTATATTTTCCAAAAACGGTAATTGTCGTGTAAGGGTTTAACAAAGTTAAAGTTTATGCGTCGTAATACAGTATGAACTGGGGGTGGAATGGATGACAGGAAGGAGCAAACAACGAGAGAGAACTAGCTCTTTGATTGGGTGTTGTTTTGAAAAAGGTTTAAAATAAGATGCCAACCTGGGCGAATGAATGTAAAAAGTGCTGAGAAAGCGAAGGGAAGGGGAAAGTTGCTGGATGCTACTGTTGACTTGATGATGTCGAAGTTGCTGACCTTCAAATACGAGGCGAACGTTACAACCACTTATATACTAAAGTCTGTTAACCGTTGTGTGCGCCCGCACCGTTTTTTCCTTCTCCACTCATTAACCCAAGACTATTGTTCTTTAGCCGCCATGACAAGTGATGCCTCTAGGATCATACACACGTCTCATCCATGCGCCTAGATCCATGTGGCAGCTTACCATCATCGCCTAGAACAGACCGGAACGAGCGAAAACGGGACGAAAGAATGATCGAGGGGTGTTCCTGCCAAGGCGTCATGCATTCTTTAGGCATGATGGGACGTATGATTGCCGGGCTGCGACTCCTGGTGAGCCTTGGTGTCCGTCTCCTTAAGGCTTCTGCGCGGGGCCAACGTCTCGAAGCGTCCATGTTGCCGGATGCCTGAAGTAGGGTTGTGACGGCCTCAGTCGCGGTAGGGTTTCATGTGACCTTGCGACACCGCGCTGTACCAATAACCACCGGCAAAGTCAACCCTCTGACAGCGGCGATCGCCAATGCATTGACACCTTGGAGCTTGACCATGAACCATGGAAAAAACAGATTTCGCAATGCACAATAAAACAGTTTCTGAATGCATGTATACAAACGCAATGCAAGGGAGCAGGCGGCAATGATGTCAAGATGCTGGCATTGGGAAGGAGGACGCGGCTCTTGCAGGGGCGCTGAATGCGACCAAAACATTACTGCTATACCCAATAGTCCTGAAAACATGCCCAGGAGTCAAGACGTGAGTCGAGTACATACTATGTTCATGGTATCTGATGTTAAGCGAATCCCAAGGGGGCCAGGGGTCGTCAGTAAGCTGGGCGCATGGCCTCGGACTGCACTGTGCCGGTGTACGCTTGCGCGTTCGACCGTCGATACTTATTGGCAACCTGGCTGTAGTATACAAAGTCCGTATCATTCGGCTCCACGGCCCGAGGTTGCAGTGTCTACACCGTCATCATCAAGCATTCACTATGTCCTATCCAATTTCCTCCGCAACAGCCTCGTCCTCTTCATGAGCTTCTTGTACTTGTGCTTCTTCATCTTGAGCTTCCTTTGCCTCTTTACACTAATCAGATACATTCCAAATCTTCGTTTTGCAACATGTTGCCGGAAGCTGCTTGGTTTGCTCTCTTCTGAAGGTAACGTGACTTCAGTTATACGCTGATTAATGCTAGCTGAGAGACCCTCAGCCGAGTATGAATCAGTCTCAGGTTCCGTTGCCAGGGGGTTGTACGGCTCGGGTGGCGCCGGCGGCTGGAAGGGAACGAGACGAGCTGCCCAACTCTCTACACTGTGTTGTGTCGGCTGAACATCAAGGTGATATACCTGCTGCTCTGACTGTGTCGCATCGGCTCGTTGCTCCTCCTGCGCATCAATCTCGGCGTGCATGCGCTCGAGGAATCCGCCGAGTACGTCCTTGGTTGCCTCTATCCTCTGGACCTGACTAGCTCGGTTTACATCGAAGAAGGCGTCAAATTCGGCGGTCGAGGTCGAGTTGGGGAACGCGCGCGAAATAGAAATGGGGCGGTGGAGACCAAAGAAAGCCGACAACTTGACATCTACACCAAATTAGTATATACATGGGGGGTATTATTATTTTCTGCATCTCACCATCTTCCCGGAGGTGGTTGGTCGGCGGCACAAAAGGCACATTATTGCCCAAGGTCGCAGTCGATGGCTGTTTCAGCTTCTTCTGCCCCTTTGTCTTCTGTCCTGCACCCTGAAGTTCTGCTGTAGCATTCTGATCTAACTCGGCGGGCTTCTTCTTGTTGTTTGCGGGGGTCGAGGGCTTGGACGACGAGTAGCGGCGCTGGTGACTCGGCCGGAGAGGTTGTTGCGGTGCACTGTTTGTGCTCAGCGCAGAGCGGGCGCATGCATTTAGCGCGGCAAAAGGCACAGCAGAGAAGGTGTTTGCAGAGCGAGCGACTCTGCCAACGGCTGGCGAGAACATGGCCAGTCGGGTAGAGGGGGGGGGGGCAGGTATGACGGTGTTGTTGATGAGGCTCAAGGCGGCGACCGGCTATCAGGACTTGCTGCAGGTTGCACCGCTCCGATGTTTCCCCGAGTGGCACTAGCACTAGCACAAGTCACGAGGGCACATCATCGGAACTGCGATACCGACTCGGAACAGGCGTATGTTGCACATATGATCAAGGAACGCATGCGCACGCACACACCCTATTCAACGTGGCTATACGAGATATCACTTTGTTCCCTTGGTAGTGTTTCCCTCCAATTTTCACTACGAATGGCCCGGTTTGCCCCGCTGCACACTCTTCCGAGACACCATAGTGGAGACCAGGTAAGGACTAGTGGCACAATATCACAACCAAACCTATAGAGTAGAATCGCCATTTGGACATGAACTACTCCACTTCTCATACAACTCATTGTTATACCTGGGGACGATAGCTCTCCTTCTCCACAGGCTCAGCCATGCAACTTGTTTGATCCTCCTAGCACTCCACTTTATGTTGTTCCAACCATATCATAGCCCTTGTATAGCCGCCAACCCCGTCAAAACTTGACAGGCACCGGAAACGTCGCATGCGTTCCTACGACCCATCGGTACCCAACCGCTCGAGCTCCAGCCTCACGCCAATGCTCCAAAGTTATGTAGTCGGTGCTCGGGTCGTGCCGCTCTACCGCTTGTTCGTAGGCTGTGACTAGCTTACCGGACCACGCCGCAAAGGCGGGCAGACGTTGGAGGACCTCCGCGGACCAAGCTTTAATTCAACATACTTACAAGGGGATGTTGGCGGGTAAATACAGCATGCACAGACTATTGTTAGTGAGGAACAAAAAGTAGTGAGACACTAGCAGTTAGATCCTGTACGAATTGGGGTTGAATGTTCCAGTGTGATGTTGTATTAGGAGAGGCTGAAAAGTTGGCGAGGGGGTCGGTTATTTGGCACTTTCCTGATGGAGAAGTTGAGCAATGTATTCATAGAGTGCATTTATACTAGTGTTTGAAGGTGCATGTGTAGGTAAGTGAGTAGGTAATGCTCAGGCATGCAGCTGTGACAGCAGAACAGGCTAGCTCGCCTTTGGCTGCAGACCAAAGCGAGGTTAGCAGCTGTCTCTCAGGCCCCCCCCAATCTAATCCTTGTGTCAATCTGTATAGATTCGCGCTTTTGGGAAGCCTTTCGCCATGATCTGGCAAGACAGAAAAAGCAGCACAAAACCACCGAAAAAGAACGCTGATGCATGCAAGAAAAATTGTGTGCCGGAGAGTTCAATCTGGGACAAAAGGAAATGATTTCTGTGTTACGCTCCTCCAATTATCCGCTCACGGACCGGTGGGGGGTGTATACGCTTTATACCCAGAATCTGCATGCTGCACAAGGCTACAGATGCTGATCCACTTGCTCGCTAACTAACAATACCCAAGGAATTATATCGTAAAAGTGTCGTACAGTGGTGGAAGACGAATAGAAAACAGGACAAGATATAGGGGGTATACGAAGAAAGGAGCCGTGGATGTCGTTCTCTTGGAATCCACTGAAAAGCCTGTCTGTGGTCCGGTCCTGCTCTTTGCGACCCTCCTAGGTAGGGCGGGTCTATTAGTGGCGGACGTACATGGCACTATAGCTCTCGCTCCAGCGCGTGTACAGTCTGCAAGGGTAGTGTAAACGGCCGTCCAGGCCGCCCTGCGCGTGGCGACCAAATTGTGATTATTATAGTATCAGGGCATTGAGATTGCGTTGGACAATCATGTCCTGTACCGATGCCATTGTGATCTTGAGCAAGTTGGTGTCGGTTGCGTTTGTGTAGTGGACGTAAACTTCCTTCTTTGGCTGGCGAACGAGATTGCGGAATTTGTTGGCGAAGAATTCTTTGCCGGCATCGAAGTCTGTGGGCCCGCCCGTGTAGTCGGGGAACGTCTTGTTGATTGGGCTCATGCCTCCAGCTATTTTTTCAGCGAACAAATCGATCTTGTTAAGGAAGAGGATCAGAGCAGTCTTTTCAAAATATTTGGAGTTTGATATGGACTCGAAGAGCATTAGAGCCTCATGCATTTGGTTCTGGCACATGTTAGTAGGGTCCATTGGTGGACGAATGACCATGACTTACCCCATTTCTGTCTTCTACTAGCACGTGGTCGTAACCGCTGATGGCGACCAGGAAAAGCACCACCTGGACGTTGTCGAAGACGTGAATCCACTTTTTGCGCTCTGACCGTTGACCACCAACATCGACCATTTTGTATGTGAGGTTGCCTAGTTCAAAGATGGTTTCGGAGATACCAGTGGTCCGTAGGCGCGTGCGCAGAATGTCTTGGTCTGTGGGGAGGAAATCTTTTTGGAACAGGCGGTCGATGTCCTGGAAGAAGCTAATGGGTTGTCAGTAGTGAGCGTGGCAAGAGGTGCAGATGGCCTACTAGTTCAAGTTGTCGTGCAGCGCATACTGGTTGCCCTTGAGTATGGTGAGCTGCACACCCTTGTCTGCCCATAGGCAGTTGAAAGCTGTGAGAAATTCCTCCGGCATGGGCTCTTCGGTGCCAATGTCGGGCGCGGCGTTGACCATTTCAGAGTAGCGCTACAGTTGGTTAGGAAACACGTAGTAGGTGACGGGTGCGCGCGTGCGTGCGTGCGCGTGCGGAGACGTACAATGTTGTCTTCATCCTCAAAGTCGGTGTCGTCCTCCTGCATGGCCTGGAAAATTGTCTGGAAGGCGGAAACGAGGTTGTTGAAGATGGTGGCGCGCCATGTCTTGCGCTCCATGCCCTGGAAACCGCCAGCATTGATGATTCGCATCTGCTTGAGGACGGTCGACTTTCCGCTCTCGCCGGCACCTGCATGCTGATCTCAATCGAAGTGGACTTGTGGTTGGCGGGGATATGCATACCGAGCAGCAACAGCTTGACCTCGCGCTCCGCCCGCTTCTTGTCGGTGCGGAGCGCCTTTTCTATTTCGGCATTTTTCTTGGTAGACTCCGGGTCCGCAGTCGAGGGTTTCCGTCCAAAGCACATGATTGCTGGTGCCATGTAATGTGGACGGGGGTGAGAGGTGAGGTGGTTTTGTCGGGGGCAGTCGCGATGGAGCGGATAAAGACGCAACGGATGATGCACAGACAAGCAGACGGCAGTGGGCTGACAGGCAAATGCCTACTATACTAGGGCGTCAGTTGAGGCCTTGAATGGCCGTGACTAGCATGATACAATGGCGAGTACCGGCGCTACCGTTGGTGGAGGGGTGCACTGGGGAGCCCAAGGTGAAATGGTAAGAAGGGCTAGCGAGCAAGGCGAGGGCAGTGCGCAACGAGGGACGAACCAAACGACGACGGCGGCGGCGGCGACGGTAATGATGAAGAGACAGACGAAGAAGCAACGAGGCAGTGCCGGTGGACAGACGAATTACAAAAAAAGCGACATGCAATTTGCCATCGAGGCACTAGGGAGAGGAACTGGGCAGACTGGCGCGAGATAGGCCTGGGCTGTCTGAGAAATAACGAACGTGTTGCCGAAGAATCCCTGATCTTCGCCGTTCGTGTTGACGGTCCTTGCTCGTCTTGCAGCGGCGACGGTGGGCCGGGGGGACAGGACGGGCAGTGCTAAGTATGTTTGCCCGCTACATGTTCTTTTGCGACGGGGCAGTCAAGGGCAAGCCACAGGCAGGTCAAGCGTGGACGGCGTGGTCAGTCGTCGGGCACGTCGATGCTGCTTGGGGGAGTGATCGGCGGCGGCAGCAGTAGCAGCAGTAGCAGCAGCAGCATGGGAGCAGCGGGTGTGCAATCATGGACCTGTTCGCGCAAGACACGGGAAGCTGGCGCGGCGATCGATTTCGGCTGCGGCGCCCAGCAGCGCAGGCCCAGCGTGGCGGACTCGCGCCCTCGGCCTCGCGCTCGCAGCTCGTGTGTGACGGCGGCTGGCAGTGCGAGGGTCGAGTGCATTTGCATTGCATTGACTCTTGGCCGGCAAAAGAAGTGAAGGAAAAAAAAGGTCGCCAGGCGCTGCGTCGGGGATGCAGGCCAGGGCAAGCGGACGAATCAGGGCCGGGCTGGCGCTGGTGGGTGCGGTTGGGGAAGAGGATGCGGCCGCCTCGACGTTTCACTGCCAGTAGCCAGTCCCACCACCCACGCCGCCGCTCCAATGCTGAAGGCCGCCAGCCCATGCCCGCCCATGTTGGCACACACAACATGGCCTGCTAACCAAGCCGCGTGTCCCGGGCAGTGCACGCCTTGGCTCCGACTACGCGTGTGCCACACATGTAGTAGCAGGAGCATGGGCAGTATGCCGTGTGCTGTGGACAAGGCCGGCGTGCTGGCTGGCTGGTGGCGCATCCAGCCGCCTACACAAAGGGCAGGGCAGAAACACACGACGGCCCTATCCGCAACCCTACTCTCCGAAAGTGGACCCCCCGGCAACCAAATGCTTGTCCACCTCTCCGCCGCTGCATTCCCACGCCCGCCTTTTTGCCTGCTTTGAGAGCAATGGGGACATGTCTCTCCTGAGCCGATCCGAGCACGAGGCCTGCTCTCTCCACCCCACCCCCGACCCGCTATACTGCTTTCCATCTCCCCTTGCCTACATGCGTCCACGGCTACATGCTAAACTTGCTTTCTTTGCTCCCCTACATATGTACCTGTGTACTTACAGCCCCCAAGCATGTCATCGAGGGTCTTTCCCTCTTGCGTCTGCATCCGCCCCGTGCTGCGGGTAACGTGGACAGGTTCTCCCGTGCCCGCGGCCCCCCCTTACACACTACATGCCTGCACATAACCCGCTGCCACTACCACCACCACCACCCACCACCCACCTGCCCCCTCCACATCAGCCTGCACATTCGACTCGCACCTCGCTCTGCCAAACGTCACACGGCGCGCTGCGCTGAGCAGTCGTTCGCTTGGGACCACCGGCTTGTCTTGCCACGATCGGGAGGCTGCATGGTGCACGACTAAGTGCCACTTCGGCACGCTCCCTATCGAGACACAAGTGTCCTGTCACCACTGACATGCCGAGATTACAGCGACACAATTTAATACTGCCGAATGGGATTCCCACCCGTCTTCCTCGTTTGACACACGGCGCCCATATCATCTACTGCCTGCTTACTCGTTTGCTTTTTCTCCGCCCCTCTCCCTCGCTTCCCCACCCGTCACAACCACCATGTTTGTTTCCGGAAAGGACTCTCAACCCCTCGATATTAACTTGACTCCAGCCCGTTGCTTTTTGCCTCTCTGGCTGACTTCATCCACACTGCTGGCCATCCATGTGGAGATTAGGCCCCGTGTGAATCTGCATTTGCTATGTGCATACTTACCTACGTACATGTGTGTCCATCTATTATGTAATCTTACCTCTCCTGTCCTGCTTCAAGGTCGGCACGCCTGCCAGTCCCTGGCATGACTAATAGCGCAACAATCATGCTCACGCATCCTCCCAGTATGCAACATATGCATCACTCTGGGCCATCTTTGACCTTCTGGTAGTCCTCACTGAACTTACTTTGCACTGACATTTACGCACATGGCCCCCCCTTCAATTCCAGTCCATAGGTTTCCCCTCGCATCTCCAGGTTCTCTTGTGCCGTTACATCTCTTACCTCATATATCTTGACATGCCATGCCTTCTACTTTACCATCTCGTGCCTTAATGTATCGTATGTAGTGCATTGGCCCTCTTATATGTAGAAATATTACAAGCAATACACTCTCTAGCCATACTTTCCGTCTACACCGTCTACGTGCCGGCCGTCTTGTCATCTTACCTTTGGCACGCTCTGCAGCTATTGCAGGCTGAAGCCAACTCACATTTCCTACTTTGCTAATCATGAGAAACCTTGTGTATTCTCTGTTCATATCCTTGTTGACTGTGAGAGGCTTTGCTCTGCTGCAGTCACTTTGATATCCTCACCTGTGGGTGAGAGGCGCTCCTGCTAGTACTCACCATGGTAAACACTGCACGAGCCTCACTTCCACGTCACCAACAAACCTCACCATCTCGGCACAACAGTACACCCTTAAGGCCGACCAGCTGTGCCTCATAACCAAATCCCACGGTCTGAGCCGTGGCACTTGGCCTGTTCACGCATACAGCACTCGAGGTATATCACAGGCCTATAGAAATTTGACTCCTGCTAACCGTCACATGCAAAGCTCTACTTCGTCGGCATGACATCTGCAAATTCATACAGTGGCCCAATGGCTCTCGAGAACTCAAAGTATGCCACTCCGCTACACAAGAAATCATCTTCATTCACTTCCACGCCTTTCCTGTCGCCTGTCGCCACTCCGAAAAGCAGCGGCACCACCGCAATTGGTAAGCACGTTGCATTTCCATAAACGAATCGTTCTAATGCACTAGATGTAGAGCAGCACAACTCTGACGTCCAACTCGCCATTGCCCATGGGAATAGTCTCTATGATGAGGTGAATCAGCACGCTGCGAAACTGTCCACCGTCATCTCGAGCACGATTGCAAACACTCGCCATTTACTCAACCTAATTCGAGAGGCATCCCCTGAAACGAGCAGCGCCACCACAGAGGCCCTGTGGAGTGAGCTGGAAAAGCTCTATACTGCAATGAATGATGCAAAGGCAGCACTGCCCAAATTTCTGGATAAGCAGCGCAATAACATTAGCTTGTACCACACTGCCATGATGAACCAAATGATCCAAGATACACAGAATGAGCTAAACATTCAGCACAAGAAGGTCGGTTCGACCTTAGAAGATTTCTCACGCTCATGACACCTGCTGACTTGAAAAAACTATAGGTTAATATTCAACATGATCTGATCCTCGAGCACCACGAAGCATTCCACGCATACAAAGAGCAGACTGCCGCCAAAATCAAAGACATTGAGGCCCTCCAAGAACGTGTTTCGCGTCTCACGCTTGAAAAAGGCAATCTTCGCACTGAAGTGGACAAGTACATGCAGCTTCTCGAGAAGGAACATGCCACCAAGGCTGAAGACCTACGCAAGGCTGATACTATGCAGAAGGAGCTAGAGACTGTCACAGCTTCTAATAAGCAGCTTCTTATCGAAATCGATGCGCTGCGACAAAAACTCGAAGAGCATCAGGGCAAGGCCAAGGCAGATCAACAGTCTACCGAAGAGCTGAAGTTGATTGCTGACCAGCTCGCTGAAGAAAAGAAGAAGACCGCAGCCCTCATGACAAAAATCGCTGATTTAGGAGAGATCGAACGCATCGCCAGACTCGATGCTGACAAAGCCAGAAAAGAGCACAAAACTCTGAGCGAGAAATACAGCAACCAGGCAGCAGAGCATGCAAAGGCATTTACGGTATGTATACTCGATTGGACTATTCAAATGCAGACGAAGCTAATACATATTCAGAAACTCAAAGAGCAATCCAAAGAGATCGAGGGCCTAAAAAATGACATCGGACGTTTACAGAAGGAAAACACTGAGTTGCAGCAGCGCTTGGCTAAGCTTACTGATATGGACCACCAAGTCACCAAACTCGACCGTGAAAATGTGGAGTTGTCAGGGCTTGTTAGCAGTCTTACCAGTCAGTTGAAGGCGGCTCAAGATGAAGTCAGCAATACCAGGTTCGAGAAGGAGGCGCTTTCGAAGAAGGTGGAGTCATTGAGCAAGGCAGGCAAGCCCGCTGATTCCGATACCGCCGACCTAGTTCACAAACAGGCCGAGAAAATCGCCGTTCTCGAAAACACGCTGGAGGAGTGGACCGAACTAGCCAAGCGCTCGTACAAGGAATACAAGGAAATGCTTCCGACGTACAAGCAGGCCGAGCAGTATCGCAAGTATGCTCTCGACAGGGAGGAAACCATCAAAGGCCTGCAAAAGGAGCTCATTGCAGCCAAGGCTTCGCAGAACAACGGTGACACCACCTACTGGAAGAACAAGTATGAGACTCTTCTGGCTTCTGTTGCTACTTGAACTGGCCATGTACACCAGTATCGATGATGCTGCATGAGCGAAGGGAGACATGGACAGAAGGTTTGAGAGCCATGCATATCATTCCATGGATAGCGGTATGAGCAGCTCTCATCAGATGTGTACCTTGATTGATGAATAAAAAGGCGTGCACCAAAGGTTTTTGACTGTTTGACTTTGATACCAAGTGATGCTGTCTCGTACAATCCTGTCAAGTACAACGAGAGCCACGGAGAAACCACTCAAAAAGTCCATCATTCAAACCCCGAAGGAGTAAAAGAAGCATGCCAGTACCCAAAATCGACAGTCTCTCTACCGAATACCCCACACAAACCTCGTACCTTCCCCCAACAACCTACTCTGCAAGCTTTCAAAGCCAAGTTCTCCTTACGTCACGCCCATAAACTGTCTAATAATGCTGTCATTACTCTACTTTTACCAACGACGGAGAGATAATAGAAAAAATTTAGCGAAAAACGCTAAAGGGAAGCAAGCGGATAAGAATGACATCTGCATAGATCGTGCTATCAATTTTTCCTCTCTCCAAGGATCCTTCTCTTTGGTTGTGTTCTTATCGTATTTGTGTTGGCATGGCTATCCATGTAGCGGAAAAAGACTGGTACGAGATACGTCATGACAAGTGCGGGGCGAGGGGAGTTAGAGCTTTTTGTTTGAGGGTTGGGTAGGAATGAGATGCGGATAAGACAGAGGATTAAAAGAAGGTTATGCGACGAATCCGTCATGGGGAATCTGTTGGGGTCATGGTGATTGTATGGGGTGATAATGGTGCTGTTCAAAGATGTGGGCCATCATGGGGTCCCTGTAAAGTATATATGCTGAGTAGCGCTGATGCGCAGAATCACATCAAGCCATCCAAATGTAAAAAAAAAAACGTGGGGAACAAAAAAAAAGGGGGGGGTGGAAGTGAAAGGAGGGAAGGCAGTGAGTAAGACGGCGGCATGGGGTATAGACTCGTTTCGATGTACAGTTGGAAAATCTTCGCATTATCGAGCTTCCGAGGAGCGAAATGATTTAGTTTCTTAGTGATTTGCCATTCGGGCCCGCGGATAGAATCCAGTGGCCAACGCACGGAACGATGGATCCGGTTAGTTGGTCATGTTACATTAACGTGCACCAAGCCATTCCACGTGGTCTAGGCAATAAGCTGGATGCGAGGCTAGTAAGTCTGCAGTAGCTTATGTGGAGCGCGCCTCAGGGGGCGCAAAGTAAAACCAGAGAGAGAGAGAGAGAAAGACGTGAGGCCGGAGCTTACCATGACCATGGTCGAGAAGGTGGACCCACATGGTCACAGTGTTACGTTGGTGCGTTGCAGAAAGGCCAAGTGTAAGCTACTGCACCGACCGCGATATGACATGTTGATACTGCCCATATACCTACTCAATGGAGAGTAGATGCATATGCCAGCGACGTCGGAAAGAGACAAGCCGGTTGCCCCTTTTATAAAACCAAGGAGCTCCCATGATGGCATGGGAGTTCTCATTGGCCTTCAATTGAAACTGCCTGCATCCTCTTCCGTCTGGGTCTACACCTTGGTGTGCAAGTACTCTACTGTAAAACCATGTATGCACATGCACATAGTGGTTCGGAGAAAGGTGAGATACTTGGGATATGATGATGCCTAAGAAGCCAAAAAGTAAAGAGTACCGTTTCCCAGGCCCATGGAATCGATTCCTCCGAATCGAATCTCTGGGGAAAGGGACAGGCCACAGATCGTGGGCCGAGATAAAAGCAATGTTAGTGTCCGCACCCGAGTGCCTTCAGACGCACTGTGCGCTGAGCTGGTGTAAGCAGGAAGGATACTTCCTGTTCCGAGAAACCTCCCCAGCATCTCCGTGAATACACTTTCCGCACAATCAGCGTGTGTTTCGATCTACAATGTCAGAGCGAATGTCAGGATGGAGCATTCATTGGCTGTCTATTTGATAGCATTCAAGATGGCCTGGTTGATCTGCAAGTCCGCTGCGATCTGCACTGCATGTGTACACACCTAGGCAGAGTCCGCGGAACTTTGCGGGGGAAGGGAAGGGAAGGGAAGAAGGGAAGGTGTGGACGCCAAACTTTCCGTTGGACGGCGGTGTGGCTTGCGGAGGACCCTGGGCTAGAAGGTATGGAAGCCATCACGGAACATTTGTGTGCAGTGTGGAGACGGTAGAGACGGCTAGAGTCGGACAGGATGAAATGAGGTGTTTGAGACAGTAAGACGGCTTGCTGTGAGTGGTTTTGCAATGCTAGAGATGCGGCTTTGCCGTGTGCAGCCGTGTCAAGCAAGGTAACTAGCGCATAGTGGCCATGGGTGGTCAGATGATCCTTGGAGCTGGGGCAGGCTTGGACTACCGTGTGCGTGTCAGTAAGTACAGTATCCGACACTGCGGTGTTGAGTTCAGCTTAATGCCGCGCCTAGGTAGTCATTGATGAACGTGTGGCGCAGGCCCTCGATAGCTTCGGCCATGGTAGGGCGTCGTACGAAGTCAGTTTGCCCAGCCCGTCCATGGACACACCGGATGGATAGTGCCCGCCCACCAAGTGAAGCTACCGACAAGGGCCTAGGCTGCAAAGGGGCAAGAGAGCTCGTGCAAGATGAGGATCAGGTACGCCTGCATTGACCCGGCCCACCAAACACGTTTGAAGGCAGGCTCAGCGAGGTGGCAGTGGCGTTGGCAGCTGTACCCTACGGTCGAGAGCAAGCCGTGAGAGGGGCGGACGGACAGAAGGGGTGGTGGCAAAACACGCTCGCGCTGCGACAAGGTGTGGCAAAACGGCGCTTCAGCTGCAGATCGCCAAAAGCTTGAGTGGCCAGGAGGCGCCGTGTTTGGCTGACTGCTGTGGGCGATGCGTTCACTCTACAGATGCATCGACGTGGGCCGCGAGTGGGATACGGAGTTGAGGCGGATTACGCAAAACACGCTAGACCGAAGGTGGCTAGCGCGAGTGGAGCATGCAAAATCGCGTGTCGTCGCTATGCATGCATGCCCTTCCACACAGACATCAAGGCCTGTTAGCTTCGCTACGCACGACCGTGGTCTGCCATGGCGGCTTATTAACAGAAAACATTTAGCACAGGGCGAGGTAGCCTAGGGGAGGCTGCTGAAAAAAAACTTCGAGTCCTGCAAGCAAGAGAAAAAGATCTCCGTCGGTCCAATACTCGGTCCCATTCCCCCGCCATCCGACTCGCACCGCTGCACACACGCCCCGATGACGACGTAAGGTGCTAATTGCGGATGCGGTTCTTCAGCTCATGGCGAAGTCCCTTACCCTTATACCTTCTTATGTGCCTTTTTTCGCCGATTGAGACGCGGAATATCAACGGTAGCCTAGGGCTGCGACTCGCCAGAAACGTGTGGATACATACTAGATGAATCAGCCCCCCATGGCTACTCCACGACGCAAAGCATGCGTTGAGTGTCGCCAGCAAAAGGTACTTTTCCTCCCACCTCGCTTCGACGCGGCACCCCCCCAATCGCCAAACAACAGACAGCATACTGACTTTGCAGATTCGCTGCGATGTTGAGCAGCACAAGGTCCCACATGACCCATGCGGCCGCTGCAAAAAGATGGGTTTGGAATGTCGCATTCTTCCCACATCAACCAGGAATTTGCGCCAGACAAAGGCTGAGATGCGCCGAGAGTTGGAGGAGTTGCGATGGAATATGAGGCAAGGCCAGGCCCCTGGCGACCAAAGCTATCCCCATTCGACCGCCTCGCCAAATGTCGACATGCAGAATTATACCCCGCTTGAACATGCTTCCGCCACATATTCCGATCCGTCAGGGAGAACCGACGCGTCGGATTCCATGTCCCCAGCTTTCGATTCAAGGCCTCCCACAAGAAAAGGTTCCGACAGCCAGGGCACCATCCCGCGCGTTCTGGATGGGTTCCTCCTCGACTCCAAACGAATTGACGATTGTTTCGCACTGTAGGTTGAACGCCATGTCCATTTTCTCTCTCTTCCGCTGACGTGTGTAATAGTTACTTCACCCAATATCACCCGCTGTTTCCAATTCTTGATCCCAGCACAGCCCCTAATGATTACTACGATCAGTCGCCGTTTCTGTTCTGGGTCATTGTTGTCACAGGATCCCGGCGGTATTCTGACTATCCCGAGGTGCTTGAGAGAATTGCTCAACCTGTCACCCAGCTTGCCTTTTCCTCAATGGCACTACGCACCTCACAGGTTCCCATCATCCAAGGCTTGCTGCTTCTTTGCACATGGAGACTGCCCACAAACTCAATGTACAAGGATACATCACACCTCATGTGTGGCTCAGCAGTACATCTTGCTACACAAATTGGTCTGCACATTGCGGGTGTGGGTCAAGATTTTGCCAGAACGCCCCTCGAGAAGGACCAATCCCTCAAGGTGCAGCGCGCCAGACTCTGGTTGTGCTGTGTCATCGTTTCCATAAGGTAGGTTTTGGATTATATGCGTTATCCGGAGTTTCTTTTGGCTAACGGCTGGTAGAACGAGTTGCGTTGAAGGCATACCACCCCTTGCTGAGTCTTTCTTCGATGGAGACGAACAAGAGCGCGAGGACATGGTTCCTTACCTCCCAGTTGATCTGCAGTATCTCCACAAAGTGTACATTATCCTCATGCGCGCGATGGTTGCAATGGGTAAAATCAATTTGCAGTCCATCCACTGCGATGTCCGGGTACTGCGGTCACTGATTAGCATATTCGATTCACAGCTTCTCAGCTTAGCACCATCATCGCCGAGCGACCTTGGTGAGTAGTTCTCTCCTGGACTTGACCATTGCTTACTGACCGAACAGACACCCTCCAACTCAGTTGTGCTCGTATCCATGTTATGGCTTTCCATTTCTTTGCTCACCCAACCAACCCTGGACCCGATGCCGAGGGTCTATCTCGATTTTACGCATTGTGCATATCGGTTATCCAGTCGGCAGCAACTATGCAAACTGCCACAAAAATACCCCTTTCCTCCGTATCGCAATCTTTCATCGACCGATCTATCACACTGGCTGGTTTTACGATCCTCAGGCTCGTTCGCAGTCCACTCGCACAACATCTAGATTTGGTCGCAGGCGAGAGAGCCTTTAGTCAAGCGTACGAATTCCTCAAGAATGTGTCTTTGCAGCCAGGAGATGTTCATTTCCGGACCGCGCACATCATGAAAGACCTGTGGGGCAGTGATAAGGTCTTCCGAAAGAAGGACGGACGCGTGGAGTCGCTATACCTGAGGTTACGCACCCGTTTGAGCATGAGTGTCAGCTATGACATGTTCTGGTACTGGCGAGAAGAATTCAGCAACATGCAAAATCCTTACAACGGTGAAGAATCATCACTCGTTGTCAATGATGCTGCTCAGCAGAATACGGCTCGTAAGTATCTGATCAACTCTTCTGGTTCGTTAGTAACTGACAAATAGGCCAAGAATATATGTCACACCAACAACAGCAACAACAGCAGCAGCAGCAACAAATCCAACAACAATTGCAACAGCAGCAACAACAACAACAGCTGACAGATCCTTCCTTGAGGCCCCAGCTTCCAGTAACCAAATTCGATCCGAGCCTAGTCAACCCTCAATTGCAGCCCGACCCATCGGTAATGGGTGGTGGTTTCGACTCCTGGGATAGTCAAGACTACGCAATTCCGCCTGTGCTGGAACAATTTCCGGATTATGATTGGGCTGCTGGCTTTGAGTTCTCGAATGCCGAAGTGCCGAATGTTCCGGTTGGATCCATGAACCCTATGATGCCTGTAAATGGTGGTGCACCGAACATGGGGTACACTTATGGTTAGATTCTATCGCCTCGAATGTCATGTGATAATGATTAGGCGAGTAGACGGATTCGGGAGCTATCAAGATTTACAACTGCAGATCGTGGACTGTATCGGTGTTAAAAAAAGGCAGAAGTCATATGCCTGAATGAGCATGACCGTAACTCCAAGACAGTCGTTGAGTAAAAGAAAGACCGGTTTGCCTACCCGAACAGCTTTTGAACAATTCTTGGAGCACGGCCAAATAAGAGGGCCTAGACTGAAGAGATTGGAACGATGACATTGGCAAACCCGGATGCGCTGAAACAAGAAATGGTCGCAGCAGGAATCTTTTCTACCATTACTATGGTGTACATCATGGTCCGGGCCAGGAAAAGGCCACTCGATTGGGTCGTCGTCTCGAGTTGGAGATGTGTCTGTACATTCGAGGAGCTATTTCCTTGCTTGGGAAGGGTTGTTCAGCTAAGAGTGAAAGGGAGGTGGAGGGCAGGAAAGAGTAGACGACACCCATCGAACTACAACAGATCCGCCTGACATATTTTGATTGAAACCGGAAATCTTGGCCATTACAGGACCAATGATACGGAAGAGTTGGCAGACGAAAGGTCGAGTATGGATCGAAAGTGGAATGCTTGCCGTTCTGCTGGCCAGCGGCTCACTTAAATCAAATCTAGCTTCTCGGCTCACGGAATCCCACGGATTATGCGCATGTACATATGTCGGCATCGGTTAGCATACCAATCGGGACATTCCATCCCTCGCTCTCAAACGATGTTACCATTTGCATACAAGGAATTGCGCCAGACATCGGCGCAGCCGAACTGTTTTCTGCACGCTTCTTGTACCGAGCCAGTGAGAGGTCCCGCGTGAGGCGGCCGTATCGGTCAGACTACCGGCGAAGTTCGGCAAGCAACGCTACGTCAGCGAGAAGGATGCATTGCGGGGTGACTATCACATGGATTCCTCACATGCGGATGGAGTGTTCGCTGCCGTTTTTGGAGCCTAGCTGAAATGTTTTCCCCGGTTGTATGGTCAATCATAGAGGTTTCAATTGAAAGGTTGTTTTTACTTGACTTGTTTCCCCTTTGCACCCTATTCGGTTGTGCTTTCAAGGATATTTGACCGACAGAACCAAGAGAAAGGCGATCGGTGCAAGCCACACACAAAGATTTACTAGGATGAGCAACTTGGACTCCCATCATCATTTGTCCCCATGGTTGTACTAGGTCCGCAGGATTTCGATGCCAGCGCGATACATACCAAACTAGGCCAAAGCAACCTGTGAGGAGTTTTCTCCGGTTGGTTTACGATCGAAACCTCGATCGTACCAAAAACCTCTTGTCTCGCAGATTTCCGCAATATTGGACGGAGGTATACCTAGTTTGAAGACTTCATGTAGCTATCGCTTCCTTTTTTTGGATTATTTTTACTCGCTTGTGGGTCTTTACGTTTTTTTTATCGGGCTGCAAAGAAGGAATAAGAAAACGACTCCTCCTTCCCAACGTCTCTGGTTGACAAAGAACCACATTACGCAACACGCCGAGAATCAGCGAGATCTGGTCAGTGGAGGGCGAACTCAAGGCTGTTGTGCCTTGGCTGATTAACTTCACTCACAGACTTGTTGCTTACCATTAATTGACAGACTTCCTCTTAGTAATAGTACTGCCATCTCTAATAAGATTGCCCTGCGTCCCTGTGCACAACGTTTCTCCAACCACCAGTGGTTTTCTTGCTCCATTCGAAACCGACGTACATTCATATGAAAGTAGAAGATACACGAAAGAGCTAGGCAAATACATAAACTGGGAAAAAGAAGGAAAAGAAGTACTTGGATGACATTTGAGGGATACCATACAAACGGAAGAATTTCAAAATGGCGGCCGTCGAGAAACTCCGAGCAATGCTCGCAGATCCAGAAAAGTTTATCGCATGTCCCGGTGTATACGATGGCCTCACAGCACGAATAGCGCTTCAAGAAGGCGTAGACTGTCTGTACATGGTACGCCATGCCACTCACGTCCAATGCACTATACCCTACTACCTTACTACCCTACTCTCCCCTAAACCGTCCCTGCATGTCACCATGTAATCATGCTACACGACGACTAACCAAACATCTTGCGACCAACAGACAGGCGCAGGAACGACAATGTCGCGTCTGGGAGTCGCAGACATGGGCATCGCAACCTTCAACGACATGGTCGCAAACGCCGCGATGCTAGCCTCGCTCTCACCGCGGACCCCCCTCATCGCCGATGCAGACACCGGCTACGGCGGACCGGTAATGGTCGGGCGCACAGTATCCGCATACATTCGCGCGGGCGTGGCAGGTCTGCATCTCGAAGACCAAATCGTCAACAAGCGGTGCGGCCACCTCAGCGGCAAGCAACTCGTCAGTGTCGACGAATTCGAAGCCCGGATCCGCGCTGCGCGCCTCGCGCGCGACGAGTCTGGCGGCGACATCGTCATCATTGCGCGGACCGATGCGCTGCAGTCGTTTGGCTACGGCGAGGCGCTCAAACGGCTGCGTGCTGCCGTCGCCCAGGGCGCCGAAGTAGCGTTCTTGGAAGGCGTGACGACGGCGGAAGACGCAAGACGCATCTGCCTTGATATGGCGCCGACCCCTTGCCTCTTCAACAACGTACCCGGCGGCGTCTCCCCGGACTTTGGCGTCAAGCAGTGTCGCGAGATGGGATACAAGCTTGCCATCTTCCCGCTCTTGGCTTGCGAGGTCATGTACCCCGTTGTGCGCAGGGCGGTGCAGCAGATGAAGGAGATGGGCAATGTGCAGAGTGTTGAGGAGGATGGAAGGAGATATGGGCCCCGCGAGTTGTTTAGGCTGTGTGGCATGGATGAGTTGATTGATTTTGATGTCAAGGCTGGGGGGTTGGGGTATAAAAATGGGGCGTGAGTGATGTGTATGTGCAGTCATACTTGTATGGTGATGCAAGAAAGGGAATTTAGTAAGTAACTAGCGCTTATTTTTTTTAAAAAAAATTCTTTCTTTTCCTTGCTTAAGAAGCATGCCGTTGGAGAGAGACGAAGGAAAGCCTTTAGGAGTTGTGGTAATTGTGTATATAGTTTATGATATCTAGTCATTATGCGTACGAGCCGTTGTCGACTCGGTTGCCTAAATGATTTAACCTTAAACCAACACTACAATGGTGACGAGGCTGTTCGTCAAGGAGAATATCAGAAAAGTAGTATGTGAGAAGCTACATACACAAAAATGTTTGACCAAAGGCACCGAAACGAATCATCGTGGCAAAAGGAAACACGTCAGTTGGGTGGAAAAAGAAGTAGTAACTCAAGCAGGAACTGTTTCATACACAATTCTGAGTCGCTTCGTTTGTCTTCTATGTACTTTGAGCATCTGCGTGCTGTCTAAGGATATCTTGGGTTTCAAACACATCGCCCCCTCTTCCCCTTTGCCTCCACTCACATATTTACTTAAGTTTCTTTATGCAAACGAAGGTTAAGAATTATAAGAAAAAAATCAAAAAAGTAAAGAGTGCTGAAGATGCTCTATGTGACAAACACGGCATGTAAAGACCCTCTATTTGAAGAAATAGCAAAAAAACCACCCGGGAACCGGCCCTAGCAGCAGGAGCAAAAAAAGGGGGGAGTGTAGTATGGAGATCACCAGACCCTTTTTTGGTTTACAAGAAGGGTAATACTACGCCCTTTCTTATTGGGCTCCCCCTGCCATCTACGGTGCTGCCTTCAGCACTGTACCCGGAATCGCGATCGACGTCGTCATTGTCAAAGTCGATGTCGAAGTCAGGTTCTTTCTCCTCGTCCTCTTCACCTTCCTCTTCGTCACCGTCCCATGCTTTTTGCGTCGCGCCACGCGAGTTCCAGCGCAGGGTGCGGCTGATGCTGTCGAACCACTCGGTGGGTTGCGAGAGCACGGTGGGGAAGGGGTACTGAGAGGCTGCGATGGTGACGTGGTCGCCCTGGCGAAGCTCAACACGGCCCTTGCCGTCAAAGGCACAGTAAGCAGTGGCGCGCGACTTGAGAGGTACTGCGATCCTGAGAAGCATGCTGTCGTTGAGAAGCATGGGGCGGAAAGACAGAGTGTGAGGGCAGATAGGGGTCAGGAGAATGGCAGGGATGTCGGGGTGGACAAGGGAGCCGCCTGCTGAGAGCGAATATGCGGTGGAACCAGTGGGCGTGGAGAAGATGCAACCATCTGCTTGGACGACAGTGAGCAGGTTGTTGTCACCGTACAGCTCCAAGTTAGAGACGTAGGGCGATGGGCCGCGGTCGATGACAAGCTCGTTGAGGACCTCGAACTGCTCGGCTTCGATGTGTTGAGGCGATCCTTGGGCAGCATTCTTCTGGTAACGGTATACGGTACAAGTGAAGCGCATGCGTAGGTTTACGCGCATGCCTGTTTCGCACATGATCTTGTCTAGCGCAGAGCGGTACTGTGCAAACTCAAAGTTGGTAAGGAAACCAAGACTGCCGAGCGAGAATGACAGGATCGGGGGCACAATGCGCTGGAAGAGCCACGAAGTGAAAAGAACAGTGCCGTCTCCACCGAGCGTAAGCACAAGGTCGAAGATCTCCGGGGTTTCCCAGCAGAGATCTGGAGTCCACCAGCGAAGCATATTCTCGAAGCGGGCGTCCTTTGCCAACAAGGAGGGGGCATCGAAGCGCTTTGATTTGCGCAACTTGTGGTCAACGTAGACATTAACGCCCACATCCGATCCGTAGCGGGAGGTAGTCATGAGCCACTCGGCCAGTTCGCGCGTAAGATATACGAGGTTGTTGTCGCGGGCCTTGGTGACGATCATAACATTGCGTACTGTCATCTTGATGGGACGGCGCTGGAGCTGCTTGGAGACCTCGCGGACACTGCATGCGGTCTGCATGAGCCTGGAGTGCGATATTGTCTCGTCTTCGGACATCTCCTCGAGTACCTTACCCAGATTGACTGCCTTGTCAAACTTCTTGTGGAAGAAGCAAGGCGATGCAAGCGCTGCCATCTTACTGGCAGACATGTCTCCTCCGTTCAGCTCGAGTTCGGAGATGGCCTTGGCAAGCTGGGCTTGGGTGATGCTCTTTGAGCGAGCGCTCTTGCGCGCGTCGCCAGCACCGTCCGTCGTGGCTGGATCCATGGGTTCGGCCAGAAGTGGGGGTCGGGATTGGAGTGCTTTGAGAATAGTCTGTCGGGGAATGGCCGAGTCAATGGAACAGGCGTTCTTGCGATGTTTTCGGATGCGGTTCTCGCCAAAGGAAGGTAAGCGCGGCAAGATGGAGAGGTTTTCGATGGAGGAAGAGGTGCTGATGGCAGTCGAAGATCGGTTTCGAGTATACTCGTCTGATGTCAGACTGGTTGGTGGTTGTGTTACAGCGGAGGGGCCGCCGATCTCAGCGGTTGTGACGGATGCATTATACGGTGCGTCCAACGGGCAGTGGACACTGGTTTGCGGAGGTTGGGGCGATTCTGGGCGTTTGAGATTATTTAATGGTGCGTCGGCATCGACGGGTTTAAGGTCGGAGGAATTCAAGTTGGTCCGTGGCGACAGGAGGGGGTGCACCCTCGCCGGGCTGTACGGCTCCCCATTTTTGGAAGTGGCCGATAGCATTGTCGCTCAACTAAGTAGGGTGCCTTGTTTTTGCTGAACCGGCGCCAGTGGAACTTGTCTAACCGCCTCCGTGTCCTCAAATGGCCGGTCGCAGAACTCGGCAAATGAGATGTTAAATTCGGCGTGTGATTTCGGCTGCCGCGGGAATGTATATATACAACGAAGGAGAAACGTAGCCAGACGGTTCGGTCGAGGGAAATGGAAGCCTGTGGGCGAATGCAAAATAGAACGAACAAAAGGAGACAGTCAAGTGTGCTACTGCATGGGCGTGAATCGTCGTGGTCCTGGCGGCTTGGTCGCAAGAGAGGGAGATGTTGACAACGGTGAAGGAAGAGTCCGGCTCGACCAATAAAAGTAAGAAGCGAAAAAGAAGAAGAGGGAAAAAGACGAGGGCACGCGACGAGACGAGAAGCCGCGTGGCAGAAGAGCGAGCGCGCAATACAGAAAAGAAGCCGTAGTGCAGGTCGAGGCAGCTGTTAGGCACGATGCAAGACGTTCTATATTGGTTTGACGTCTGCACAACATCGCTGCCATCGCCATTCTGAAGCAAAGCCACACGACGGTCCCACGCGCCAGCCTCAAACAAAGTTACCGTCACTATGTTGCGGCTAACCCGCCGGGTCGTTGTGACACTTCGCACGTCACACAACTCGTGGGGCCCCTTCGGACTTTCTACCAAACATAGAACAAGACCACATTCCAACCACGGCTTTGACACACAACCCTTTGTGCCTCAGGCGGCCAAGAATCAGCTGTGAGCCTGTCTCATTAGGCACGCTCCACTAGACGGCCATGCCTCTCGACTGTCAACAATCCTTCGAGAGCACCGAGAAGAGTTATTCGGTGAGTGAGGCCTCGCCTAAGTACATGGTTGTCCCGGTTATCGGCTCATAGCGACACCCTCCGGGTTTGATCCACACTTCACCGCCAGGCCTCGGGTCAATCCCGTCGTATTGTTCAGAACAAACGCTTGCAGGCAAACATGCCAGGTTGCGCTGCCGCACAATAAAGGAGTTTCTCCATGGACGCAGTGTCCACATGTAGACTAGCTTGCTCCTATCTATAATGGGCCGCCTTGATGCAGATCGACTTCTGGTACAGGGACAGTTTGGGCCAGACTGCTCACTCCTTACTAGAGCCCGAGTTTCGCAACAACTTGATCAAGCGGGAGAATACGGCATGAACCTGCTTGTCGTCAAGACCGACGGCCCACACACTTCATACACCTCGCATGGCCAGTCGTGGTACATATCGCGTATAGTAGAGAGCACAATGGGCTCATGTTTGCAGTCCGCGGTGTTGCAGCGCCCGTCCGCGGCACTTTGCCTCCAACTGCCGACTATCTACCTGACGCTGCGTGCTGAAACACGTGCATCTTACTGGCTGAACGTCCATGTGAGTGCGCGCACCTTTCATGTCCTGTCATTTTTCCCCAGCGCTTCTGGGGAGAGAAGATCAGATTACCACTGCATACTGGCAGATGACAGCAGCCGTTTGAAGCGCTTGTGATACATATAGTCAATATATTTCCTGACGGTACATCCCTTATGTGTCAGATGGGGTTGGCAAGCGAACCATGGTCATAGGGTCAAATTCAGGAGATAACAAGAGAGATCAAAGTATGGCGCTGTCGCTAGGTATTGTGTATTTTGGCCTCTTCATCAGCCTCGATGGTGGTTCTAGAAAGTCTAGCCTGTGCGCAGTGCGAAATAATTGCTGAAATTCCGAAGACTTTTTTGTGTACAGATGTGCATGACCTTGCAGTCTTCTTATAGCCATTGACATGTCGTGGTATCTAGTGAAGTCGTAACTAAAGGAAAAGTTGCAGGTAAGGCGTCTATCGGAGAGCCTTGCGAGCAAAAGTAGGCAGAACAAAGGCCGCCTCGTGAATCTCCTTGCTGTAGTACCTGCACAGCGATTCCTCCTCTTCAGCAGACCAGCTGCGGAGAGGCTTCTTGAGGTTGAGGTTGGCGTCCTTGCTGCACACCATGAAGCCAATCTGGCCGGATGGGTAGGTGGGGATGGTAGTGTACGCATACTCGACGTTGGGGAAGACTTCCTTGCAAGCCTTCTTGAGGTTGACGATAAGGGGCATGTGGAGCCATTGGTTCTCAGCTGCATGGTAACAACATTAGCCGCTGGCCGTAAAAAAACCACCTATTCGGCACATCGAAGCCGCTGAAAAAAGGTAGGCATAAATTAAGGGGTTGAGAGAGGGCTTACAACCTTGAGTGGTAATGACACCGCCTTCGCGGAGCGCTCCGTTGAGGAGTTCAAAGTATGCCTTCTGGAATAGAGCCTCAGCGGGACCCTCTGGGTCACTGGAGTCGGTGATGATGACGTCGAATTCGCCCTTCTTGTCCTCGAGGAACTTGAAGCCGTCGCCAACGATGGTGGTGGTCTTGGGGTGCTCGAAACCGACGGACATGCCGGGCAGGTACTGCTTGGAGAGACGGATGACAGCTTCGTCAATGTCGCAGAGGACAGCCTCCTTGACGCAGTCGTGCTTGACAACCTCGCGGAGCACACCACCGTCACCACCGCCAATAACCAAGACCTTTTCGGGGTTGGGGTGGGAGTTCATGGCGAGGTGGGTGATCATCTCCTGGTAGCTATGGTGCCATCAGCAAATGTGTATGCATGCCATTGTATACAATGCAACATACGAGAATTCATCGCGCTCGGTGCACTGGATGACGTTGTCGAGGACGAGGACGGTACCGTAGTCGGTCGATTCGAAAATGAGGACGTCCTGGTACTGGCTCTTCTCGTGGTGAAGAACTTCCTTGACCTGGAGCGTCATGGCCTGACCAGGCCACATGCCGGAAATCTCACGGAACCAGCCATCTAGGGTTGCGAGTTAGCCACTGCTTCTCTATACTAACGCGCGCAGCAAGCAGCTGGTTTCTATCGCGCAAAAAAAAAAGTGTGACGTCTTACCCTTGATGGTGGGGTGCTCGATGGAAGGCATTTTGCTAAGAAGAGTTCGCGTAGAGGCGAGACGGGCGTGTATGCGAAGTGTGATGGGCCTGGAGTAGCGAATGCGGGAAGAGATGGAGGATTGACAGAGCCCCCAACGGATATATATGGGGAGCTTCAGTTTGGCCGAGTTTTGAGTTTTCCCAGTGTTTGCGTTGGTTGGGCACAATTTTCTAGATCAATGCACGTCACTGGTTGCGGGCGGAATTGCCCCGCCATCCCCCACCTTCCTACTGGGTAGGCCCAGCCGCCCTACACAGTACTTCCCTGGTCATATTTTTCCATGTACGTTTGCTTGATCTCAAGCGATCGACTGTGCGTCACAATGTAGTTTGCGAGTGTGTTTATGGGCAGGCAGCAATGTTGCGGACCATCGGGTTGATCACGGAGCCGACATGATGTAGAGGGCGCCGCAAGCGCGAACGCCTGATAACTAGGGTGGTGTAGACAGTTGCACTCGACAGACACATAAAGAGAGAGATACTGGGCATTGAACAGCATACATCAATTTCGCTATCGTTTGCGCAAACAAATTATCCAGATAACAAATGTCCGAGCAAGCCCCAGACAGAAACGCTACTCAGGAGGAGCGCAGGGCGGCCGAGCAGATTATTGTAACCAAAGCTTATGTCGATAATCCCGAACTACTACCGTGGTATACGAAAGATATAGAAGAGCCCAAACCTGCCGTCAGGGACTTGTTTGAGAGCTACAGCAAGGTACCCTCGACTGATGTCGTAACGCACATCAAGCATGTCAGGGATGAGGCTTTCAAGATAGTAAGCCGGCCTTACTACGTATAGTATGTAGTAGCCTCACTAATTGTCATGTAGTTTCCTTACCCATGTTTGGGTAATTGGGGCTTCCTCAACTTCTCAATCGGAGTAGGGCCGGCTTACCAGGAAGTCGTCAGGCGTCTCAAGGATGGAGAGCAATTCCTCGACCTCGGATGCTGCATGGGTCAGGACATCCGCAAGCTGGTTCATGACGGCGTCCCGTCAACAAACACATATGCGTCGGATATCAAGAAGAACTTTTGGGACCTAGGCTATGACATGTTCCTCGACAAGTCGACTTTAAAGACACAGTTTCTTGAAGCCGACATCTTTGACGCCGACTCCCAATTGAAGCAGCTGGATGGAAAGATTGACATCATCAACGCGGCTGCTCTATTCCATCTTTTCGACTGGGATGAACAGTTCAAGGCAGCAAAACGTATTGTTCAGCTCTTGAAGCCAGTGCCCAACGCTCTGATCGTTGGGCGGCAAGGAGGTCAGCCCAAAGCGGGCGCCTTCTCACATATCATCATGGATCAGGCTGCTTTCTGGCACAACCCCGAGTCATGGAGGGATATGTGGAAAAAAGTTGGTGAGGAGACTGGGACTGAATGGAAAGTCGATGCTGTACTTGGTGAAGAAGATTTGTCAAAGAGGATGAAGACCAGGCTTGTGCCTCCTGGGACAAGATACATGACATTTACCATTCGAAGAGTCTAAGATAGCCATGTAGCTGAAAAAATGGTTTTACGATATCAATCCCAATCAGCATGCCATGTTACCCGCAAATTGGGCAAAAATAACAACAGCAAAAAGTTGCGAAGCAAAAACATACAACAGCGGTCTTTGGCGTCTTAGCTCGTCGACCCTTGTGCTGGCAATACTTTCCATTGCGACTCGGTAGATTCTTGCTTAGACCTTTAAACGTCTTTTTAAACTCTACGAAGATGTTGAGTTTGTCCTCGCGATCGAAGTTGATGTCTCGTCGATGTTTGTCGGGTAATTGGTATGCGGCATCAGCCCAGAGATCGTTACTGGAGTGGTATTCATATGTTTAACAGATACATCATGAAGTAAGGCTGGATAAAACTGCTCCGCGCGCTGTCTAGGGAAAGCCAGTACTTCCATCATTCAACCATTCCAGGAGACTATGGTTCTATATCAGTACGAAAAGCGGGTTGCCTTCTCATGAAAAGAAGTATTGTCAACGCCCATTGAGGGTCATGGCAACATAACACCATCCCAAGGTTTTCAAAGAACAGCTCAAAATCAGCCGGCACTACGACTTTGAACGAAGCGACGTGATGAGGAGGGAATATACGACATGCCACCAGGCTGAGAAGCTCACATCTTGTAGGGTGCAGTTACGCGGCCCTGCAGCAGCTAATCACAATCTGTTAACTGCAATCCATCGGATATCAGGATCGGAAACATTGCAGCTGACTATCATTCTGTCTTTAATTTTCAATTTCAAGTGAAAGTGTTCGTTGGAGACAACGAAAGAACCAGTCCACGCAAAGCTTTGACTAACGCCACACTTCCCTTCACCTCATTCTAGTTTACAAATTCCACACTCCAAAAATCGAATAAAACGACAACAAAAAACAAACAAAAGAAAAGAGGTAATGAGAAACCCGGAGAAGGAGAATAATCTCCTTAGCTTTCAAAGGGCACATTTCCCTCGCTAGCTATTCATAATTTTGTTGCCCGGATTTTGCTTTGGCCCAAACAGACTCTGCTCCCTCGTGCCCAACGGCCGCTGTCTCGCTGCCTTGCTGATATTAAAGATGTGCCCATCCTCTGACGAAACATTTGGACGACGCGCTATACTGGGACGATCCAAGTCCTCCACGACCAGGCTGTCCTGACCCTCTGGTTCAGCTTGCCCAATGACCGAGTCACGACGTAGTGACTGGGTGGGCGCCACGTCGTCTTTGGGACCGTAATTCATATTGTTGTTCTTACGCACAGCAGGCTGGCCCTCACGCCCGTATATGCGCTTATTGAGCATGACATTTTTCATGTCTTTTTCCGCTGTTGTGCTCACCGTCTTCAGAACGTCCTTTTGCCACTTGTCATTTTCCCGCTCCTCTCCGATCTTCATGCCGTGTTGGATGAGCGCTTCGTTCTCATTGGCGCGCTTCTGTTCTTTGAATTTCTTGTCTTCATATTTCAGAGCAAGTTGCCCTACAAATTGGACGACCGGACCAACGATTGGAAGGTATTTCACTGCTTCTAGACTTCCCTTTGCCAGCGTGCGAAGGACTGAGCGTTTGGCGCCACCATTTTGTTTAATGTGCCACTCGATCACAATCACCCTGCCCAAAGTGTCGAGCACAACTTGATGATAATTTGAGTTTATGTCTGTAAGTTTGAACGGACAGAGATGCTCATAATCGTTCTCGAAATTTGTAGTATTGTCGCATGCACCCGTAACAGCCTCGACTAAGAGGTACTCGGTATCCATTTTGACATGAGAGTGATTTTTACATGCATCTTCGTGGATCGTCAAGACGAAGAAGGATTTCCGGGCTTCGTGTAAATGCTCTACACCGGTTGCTGAAAGACTGAAAAGAGATTTCGACAAGGGAACCCAATAGGATACGCCAGTCTCACCAGCCATCTTCACATATCCCTGTGACTCAAGGTAGTCTGCTACTGACACAGTATCTTTGGTGACAGGCTGATAGCTGTCATCATGAAGAACAGGTAACGGTTTCAGTCTGGTCTTGCACTTTTGCAGACCTTCTTCGATCTTTTGCACCGCCTTTTCAGTGTATGCGAAGGCGGACGATTGGTCTAAGATTGAATATTCGTCGATTTTTCCTGGGAGCAAGGTGTCGCTAAAGTCAGCGCGCAAATAAAGTGCGCGTTCTTCGCCCTCTAAAATTTCCCAAGGCTCCGTTCTTTTACTGTCTGAATATGTCGACACGTCCATCTTGCGAACTTCTTCGATGTCTAGTATTTTATCAAGAGGAACTCCAAAAAGTTGCAAGTTTGACTACGCCAGGGCACTGGGTTCCGAAAGTATTGATCTTCCATGACTTCATTTGTGAACCAGAATTGTGTGTGAGACACATTGCCCAGGGACTGGTTCGTGGAGATGATGTCATGTTTGATTTTCTTGATGAACTCCTTCTCGCGCGGATACACAATATAGAGAGTGTTTTTTGTGTGCTTCCGTATGAGTTAGTCTGCAGCACAATACCATGTGACCGTTTGACGTCCTCTTTGCTCCCCTCGAATTGACTCATCATCGAAGCCCGTGGCGAGATTTGGAAGACAGGATACGCATTGCATTCTTTTTTCTGAATTTGGCGGACGTCATAAGAGAATTCCTCCACGGCCAATGGAATGCCACTTTCTTAGCTTTGGCTAAGATCGAAGGTTTCGACACGAGTCTTCGATCCTCTCAATCCAACATTGAACCGTGACTTCACAAGACTAGCCGGGATTCCGTATGTCTCTCCGTTCCCGATATTGAGCAATTGGCGTTCGACCTGCTCGACCATCTCAAATCCAGCAAACTGACTCTTATAGTGATCGTAGCAGCCATTGCGGTAAGTGTATTTGCAAAGTCGTGAGTTTCCCAAGATTTCATCCTTGATTTCTGTTGTGGTAACTACTTGCACGGGAAAAGGTAATTTGGTGGTCCATGGTCGTCCTGCTGCAATATCCTCGAGATAAAACTCAGTCGATGGTCGATAAGCGACAGACGTCGAATGACCTAAGCCATTACTGTAAGATTCCAGAAGGAAGGGCTTGATCTTCCCCACCAGACTGATGTATCTGATCTCACTTAGGCTCGAGGATGCAGAGGTATCTGGCCAGCAAAGGCTTGCTGTGCCACGACCCTCAATGTCGAGCATGAACACTGAGTTTAGTTCCGTAATAGCGGGTAGCATTGGAATATAAATTGCGTCACCCCAAGAATTGCCCGCGAGATTGTAGAAGAGCATTGCCCCTCCTGCGGGGAGGATGTAGAGAAGGTCTGTGGTCCCCGTTCCATCCACATCAATCAATCTCAAGCGATCGTGGTCAAAGTCTCCGTATTGCGAGAAACTTGGAGAGTTACCCATTACAACAGCACCATCAAAGGCGCCATGGTCTTTGTTCTGCCAGTATATGAATTGCACATTGCTGATCTCAATCAGATCTGACAGGCCATCACCTGTAAAGTCTGGAATGTATGTCCGTGCTTCCAAAGAAAATGCTACCTGAGCTTTAGTGGCTGGTCTGAGTTTGATGTCGACGATGACGATGTGTAGCCTTTCTTCCCTAGATTTTGTTTCCACATGAGCTCATTTGAGTCTCTCAGCTCCACGAGCATGTCTGCAATACCTACTGAATGTGGGAAGCGGACCATCTGTCAGGCGAAGATTAGTTTTGAGAAGAATGAAGATGGTTCTAGTCGCATATCTTCTTTCTTAGGCACACTAATCTGCAGGCCTAGTGTGAAGAAGGCAGAGTCATTGTGCCTCGTTGCCCATTTCTCCAAAACAGTTTTGATTTTACTTAATTTGTCTGCATTGTCTTCATGTAATGCGCCGCATTGATCAATGGTGATCTCTGCTCCGTCTGGTCCAAGAGGACAAGTGGTATATTCCGGTCGTGGACTTGCCCATGCAAGGCCCGTGATCGGTCAGAAATGTCCGTATAGAAATTTATTTTGCTTATGCATACTGTCGATTGAGGCAAACAATCTATTGATTGAATATTCTCCTGCCTCCATCTTGACGTCCTTTTCTTTGTTTGGCGCATTAGGTGCGAGGGGCCGCTGAAAATCAAAGTCCTTGAGCAATTCATTTGCAGCGTTTTTGTTCACAATCGTCTTGTTCACAATCGTCTTGTTCACAATCGTCTTGTTCATGACTGTCATTTTGGCAAGATTTGCCAGTACGCCAACCTTCCATCCTTTAAGGTCAACGCCTTCATCGAACTCATCGATCTGCAAGAGGGATCGTCTGCCCTTTTGGGCATGCAATGAGCCTACGCTCAAGAACAAATCCATCACGTTTGTCGGCAAGGATGCAAAAGTACTGGGTAGTATCAAAATCTCTGCGTGCGCTGGTACAACCGTCAAGGAAGGTGATAAGGTCGGTGTATGGCAGGTGTTGAACTGGAACGATCTAGCCATTGATAGCAAAGGTATGGGGGGATGGGTCTTGTCGGCGGACGCTAAAACGTGCGATGGTAAGGAGCCGGGAGCTGTGTACATGTTGTTGCAGTATACGTTGTGAAGTTAGTTTAGATTCATCTCGAAGCTTGGGATTTGAGCAAGATGATAGAAAATCTAAGATTTTTTGTTCAAAAAGAGGCCAGCGGTTTAGTATGATCCTGATACTGTCCCGCTTGATCTAAATCCCAGACTAAGGACTCACAAACCAACCGTGTATGTAGGTGTGTTGAGTATTTGGGAACCAAGACCAAACATACTACATGACTCGCACGTACCTTCTCATGGCCAGACACTTGTGTTTTCAATTGCAGTACAAAGCCTGTACATGCATGCCATTTTCCGTAGTTTTCTATACATACCACTCCTGATATCCCTTTTTCATCAGTGCTCGACTTCTGCTTGGCAGTTTGTCCCGTCACTCATGATAAGATATCCTGTTACATTCTGATCATCTATAAACGTGTGTTCGTTTTTCCTTTACGAGTCGAAATCTGTTAGCTTTCACTGGCCGACTAATTCTATCTTTACTTTTACTTTATGATTTAAACCGCAAGTCTTGCTAAAGCACTTGACTAGACTGAGATGGAATAAGCTTCTACTTTCCGAGTCTTATACATGGAAAAATTAATAACTATGGATATGAGATCGGTTACCAACATTATTAAAACAGCTCCAAAAGAAAGTAGAACATCCGAAAAAGTTGCGGACGATCAGAGTCTCAGAGAAGTCATACTTCTTTAGTTCCGTAAAGTCAGGGTGCGTTGGCTGGGCCAGCCAATGAGCGGCTTGTATGGTCCGAGCAATCAGCCCAAACTCAATCTGGCTTCAACACCACGATTGCATCTTCAATCGCGGGTCCATTGCTACAGCGTATCTCTACACCCCGAAACCATGGACCCCTATTCCCCAGAAGGAGGTGGGTGTTATCCTGCGCCTCGTACCATATAATCATGCAACCCCGCTAACGCACCCCAGAGCTCATCAACATCCACTCGGCCTTCCACGCCGGGGCATACCAACAAGTTCTCGACTTCGACACCTCGTCCTTTTCGGCCTCCAATGCACTTCCCGTCCGTGTCCTAAAGCTTCGCAGCCAAATTGCTCTCGGCCAGGCAGAATCCGTCTCTAGCGAGCTCGCATCCGAGAAAACACCCGATCTCGTCGCAGTAAAGTTGCTGGCAGACTACGAACAAGGCAAAGATGTTCTCAGCCAGGCAAAGAAGTTGGCGGAGCAGAGTGGACAAGAGAATCTGGCTGTGCAGCTTTGCGTGGGCATAATCCTGGAGAGGGCAGGAGAGACGGAGGCTGCGCTGGAACTCTTGAGCAAGCACCAAGGCAGCTTGGATGCGTACGGCAGCCCGAATACGCCAAATCTGGCACGAAATGGAAGCACAATGGCTGACGTCTGAACAGGGTAGCGCTAATTGTCCAAATCCACCTCCAGCAGAACCGCACTGATCTTGCCGCCAAGGAAGCACAGCGCGCACGGAAATGGGCACAGGATAGCCTGCTCGTCAACATTGCTGAGAGCTGGGTTGGCATGCGCGAGGTTCGTAACCCACTCGTTCCCATGCCCGCCATGTAACCAATCGCTGTTGGAAAAGACACTAACATTAGTTTAGGGCGGCGAGAAATACCAGTCGGCATTCTACGTCTTCGAAGAACTAGCTACAACCGCGCAATCGACGTCTCCTCACTCTCTCGTCGCGCAAGCAGTGTCAGAACTACATCTCGGTCGCCTGCCCGAAGCCGAAGCCGCTTTACAACAAGCCATCTCTATCGACGGTACCTCTGCCGACACAATTGCCAACCTTATTGTCCTCAACACACTACTAGGCAAGAAGGATGAAACAGAAAAGATGAAGACACAACTTGAATCCGTAGCCCCACAACACCGAGCCATAGCAGACTGGGCTAGTAAGAAGGATGAATTTTCCAAGGCGGCGGCCAAGTACACTCCGCAGTTTGAACCTGTTTCGTAGGAGCGGGATAGAAGAGAAGAAACGAGAGCTATAGCTTACGATTGATTGATGAACAACGTGTATGGAGATATCCAATAGATGATAGCTGGCAATGTAAACTAGTAAACATTGGCCGGGTTACTACGAATGAAAAACATATCTAGTGTATGGATAGGCATGTATGTTGGGATACAGGGTTGTGGAGCCAGTGACATACATTGTCAGCAAGAGGTACCCTGTGGCGTAGACTTCGTGCCCTCTACAAGCTCAACACTACCTTGTCATCTTTGATTACACCGACATGACAAACCTGCAAGCACGCTGCCTTGGTATGGCAAAAAGCATTCGGAAATGCAATTTCTCTCATCACCTTTTTCTTTTTCCAGAGTTTTCCCCATCCCCATTCCCCGCCCTCCCCCGGCAACCTGTCTTTCCGGACGCCACAAAAGCACACAAGCCCGCACCGCATGCTACCGCATCCGAACTAGAGACCCTGGGCGCCACCTTGCCCCGTTGGACCCCAGCGGCACAGACTGGGGCGGGAATTGCACAGCTCCCAAGTTGGGGGCGGTCAGTTGGCGTGACGCCGGATGATGTGCGTCTTTTGCTGTCATTTGGAGGGGCGGGCGGGTGACAGTAGCAGCAGCAGCAGCAGCGGTGGCGGCGCTTCTTCACGGGAAAGATGGAAAGGGTGGGTAAAGTGTGTATGCGTATGTATGGGTGTTTGATAACAGGGAGTCCAAGCGCACCAGGATATATCTGATCGACGCGCCACACGGGTTTAAGCGATAGATCGTATCCAGTGCACCGGATTCTGTCAGGCGTGGAAGGGAGGGGGGAAAGGGGGAAGGGTGGATTTTTTGCACGTGGGAAGGAGAGGGAGAGAGATGGTCTGTGTGGTGGTAAGTAGCTGAGACTTGCATGCAGAAAGCACTTTTTGCTACCAGCGCCGTTGCAACGAGAGAGAAAGAAAGAAAAGAAAAGGAAGTGGAATTTCCTCACAACATTCTCGATTGCTGCACTCGGAGAGAGAGGCAAACAGGGAAATTCGTATCTGTGGATGATAAAATGACTCAGGACATCGCGCATGTTGCAGCATCTGACACGTCTCGTGCCGCGACGGCGTTGCTACTTCCTGCAACGACAACTGTTGTGCCGCCGCCCGGGACTTGATACATCCGAGCGCCAATGTACCCCATTTCGACCGCAACGATCACTCTTTGGAAACGAGCGCTAGCCTCGGGGCCTTATCCAGCCAATACCATACCTGTTGCCGTGGGATTGGGGCCGTGGTCTTAATACGCTTTGGGAACACGTCCCGGCGAGAAGGAGGTTTTGGAAAGGAAAAAGAGAGAAAGCGACCCGCATGGCTTGGTGTCGGCCTTTTTAGGAGGAGGGCTTTTCTTGCGTAGCGTTAACTTGCTGCCCGGGGGCATGATGCTAAGGGATCTCTTGTTATTTGTTTTCTCCTCTTTTCCTTCTTTCTCTCTAACGTTGCCCACACCGTCGGATTCTTAGTTTGAAGCCCGGTTTCTTCAAGAGTGAAATGGGAGTTTTGTCTAATTCATTTCGGGAACATAGGTTGCTTTGCTATTTGACCAGAGATACGCATCACCTTGCTGCCTTAACGCCGAAATCTCCGCTTCGCGCGCTTGCCGTACCGCCAGGCTATTGGATAGGCTAAGGGAGCGACTTTGTCATGTCTGGGGAAGAGGCCGAGGTCGGCAACTCGCTCGACGTACCGCTATCACCACATCCTGACAACATGGTCATCGGAGTACCGCCAGTATTTCAAGGGCTCACACGAGAGCTGGGCCAAATTGTCGAGCAGCCACTACTTGGACCCAAGGCCAAGTTTCCACCAGGTAAGCCTCTCTGTAGCCATAGCGCTTGAGACGTGTAATGACCTTCGATCCAGCTACTTTTGGTTTTGCACGTAAGGATGTATCTGGAAGGCGAAAGCCACAGGCCATTGCACATCGAGGATACAAGGCCAAGTTTGCCGAGAATACCTTGGCCGCCTTCAAGGGGGCAGTTGAAGTTGGAGCCGATGGCTTAGAAACCGACTTACACTTGACTAGAGATGGTGTCGTTGTATTGTCCCATGTAAGTTTATAGATTTAGCCATGTTTGATCATGGACTGATACTCGACAGGACAAAGATCTCAAGAGATGCTTTGGCAGGGATGAGAAGATCATAGACTGTGACTATGAGTTTATAAGTAAACTGAGGACATTGAAAGAGCCACACGAGCCAATGCCTCGCCTTTCGGATCTACTCGAGTATCTTGCACAACCCGGGTTGGAGAACATCTGGGTATTACTCGACATTAAGGTTTGCAGTTTGCGCTACTTTGCATAGCCGAGAGCTGACACAGAGCAGTTAGATAACGATGCAGACGATGTAATGCGCCTAATTGGTGACACAATCCGGAGCGTGCCACCCTTGCCATCGCGACCATGGCAGAGCCGCATCGTTCTCGGATGCTGGGCAGCAAAGTATCTTCCGCTGTGTTCACGATACCTTCCCGGCTTCTCAGTCTCCCACATTGGCTTCTCAACGCTTATTGCGTCGTATTTCTTCACAGTGCCGAACGTCTCTTTCAACATGGCGCAGGCTGTCCTCATGACGCCGTGGGGCAGGCTGTTCATACGAAAAGCACAAAGTGACGGCCGACCGGTGTATGCGTGGACGGTGAACGAGGAGAGCCGGATGCGATGGGACATCCGACATGGACTGGACGGTGTGGTGACAGACGACCCGAAGTTGTTTGTACAAGTCCGGGATTCATGGCATGAGGGTGTCAAGGACGGCGTGTCGGTGATAACATGGCTAGATGTGCTACGGATCAATTTCTTTTGTCTGATTTATACCCTCTGGTTCCAGTTGAGGTTTGGATTCCAAGAGAAGTCCCTGGTCAAGATGAAGGAGGAAGAAGAGCAATGAAGATGATGAGTCATCATGTAGAAATAAAAATGTGCTGCAATTAATATGGT